TCCTGGATCTTGGCCTTGACATTGTCAATCGTGTCGCCCGACTCGACCTCAAGGGTGATGGTCTTGCCAGTGAGCGTCTTGACGAAAATCTGCATCTGAAAGGATGAAGCAAGGGGGACGTACAACGATGCAGTCAGTATCGCCACCAATATAGTCGCTGAATGTGGATCCAGAGACGCGCGCCACGCCAGGATGTTAAGCTGCGCGATTGCCTCCCGCAGCACGGTGGCAACCACACAGCCATGTCTGTACGCGCACGCAATCGTTAGGTACTCACTGTGTATGTATTCCAACTGTCGCTCAAAGGACGTGCGCGTTCAAAGTCGAGATGTGTTGGTCAGGCGTGGATGGATGCAGTGTATACTGCGAATTGCGATGAGGGCCGTCAGTTATATATACGCACCTGCGCGGATGACTCGCGCAGCTGTGACTCGCGGTGCTCTCACTGTGACTGTGTGCGATTGTGGGCGAGCGGTTCGATGCGGTTCGTTTGATAGTTCCATTTCGATTGCAACTGCGAGATGGATCCCGACACTTCCCCAATGCCTTCCATCCTCCGCGCGCGCCCTTTGTGCTGCAGTATGACAGAAGCGGAAGGTGGCTTGCGAAGCACAATGCAAAAACAGTGCGCCCGTGCTGGTCCCCGTCCGTATCCTTCCGAGCTGCCCACTGCCTACACTCGCCCCATGCTGCTGCGCTGTGCGAACTGCTCTAGCCTTGAGCCGTGTGGACCTGAACTGACTCCACGCTGTCGAACGTGGCCGGAAAGGACGGGGAGGGAGTGCCCCCGCAGAATGAAGGCTCTGCAATGGTTCTGCTGCCAGCCAGCAGTACCGCTGCACCCCACAGGTCCCAGCAGCACAGGAATAGCATCAGGATTCTTCAGCTGAGCTTCTGCCGCCTTCGAACTAACTTCAACAACAGTCAACAACGACGGGCAGGCGGAGTCTTCGACACATCGACACTCGACGTGTCGTCAAGCCCTATCATTCGTCAAGCTCAAGCAAGAGGAAAGGCTCAGACTGACCTTGACTTGGATATATCAGATCGACCTCCGCCATCTCCAGTCGTGGTTTCGGCTTAGTGTCTGCTCGGCCAATTATTATTCGTTCCGCGAGCTCACGACACCATTGGATAGCGTTCGATCAGCTATATTAACTCGTCACCAAGAGCACCAGTGTGGCTGGACCGAATTCCGGGGTCCAAGCTGTTGGCGACGAATGTAGAGCTGATCAAAGCGCTATCCAGTGGTATAATAGTCAGCTTGCGAAACGAATAACAATTGGCCGAGCAGGTGGGCCGACATAGGCAGGGTAGGTGATCGGGTCCGGGGTTCCGAGCTTCCCTTGCGGAGGCCAGTGGGCAGGAGTCGAGCAACTTGACGCCTTTCCCAAGGACAGGGAGACCAGTTCGAATTCTTGACGACAGCAGACACACAAAGACACAGTTTTGCATCTTCGAAGTCCTCTTATGTAACTCATTGGTCACCAGGCGGGGTGTGCAGTTGCGTTGGCCCGCCACCGTGCGGACCGTGTCCGCGAGACCAGGCTTTCTTTTCACAGCACAACAGAACAACACGCGCTGCTCGACGCATCTTGTGCCTGAGCTTGCCTGGCACACGCATGGAATCTCCTGGAATACCTGATGATTAAATTACATTAGACCTCAGAAGTTTCTTTGCTAGCGCTTGAACGGCCAGTCATTCGCCCATTGACGTAGTCCTGCAAGACAAGGTTCATGGGGAATGAGCGCGGTCCCATGCTTTTCAAAGATGCTGAATGAAGTGCAAATGCTCACCTGGCCAATGACACTTAATGCTACCTCCAGCACGTCAGTGAGGCCTTGTTCAACCCATGCATTTTGTTCGAAAGGGACCTCAACTGCGGGTGTGCGAAAAAGGCAAGCAACGTGTCAGCGCACACATGTCTTGCAACGTGTTTTGCTCTTCGCAGAGTGAGCCCAACTGACGCCATGTCTGCGGCACCGCCTGGCTGATTGTCTGATGGTCTAATCCATTTGACGGGTCCTTGAGCAGTATGATAAAGTAGAGATATTTGCTCAACGACCTACCCCACGGCAGCGGCGCTACGCATGGCTGGATGCGGACGTACACCGGGCACGTCGTGATCGGCAGTGCCACACTGTTGGACGACGAGGTCTTCGCACTCGCGTCCGCTGGTTGAGCAGCCTTCTCTGCCTCTTTGCCCTTTGCGTTTTGCGATGATGAGGCAGAGGAAGAAAAGGATGATGCTTTGATGAGCTGCTCGACATTCACCTATGCGAAGAGATCGTCAGTGTTGGCGACGAGACTGCCAACCCAAACGGCGGATGCGACGTACCTCTGCGACCTTGACAGCCTCCTCGAATCCCTCGACCGCATTGATGTCCCTCTCGACATCTGCATCAGCAGGTTTTGCGCTTGCGCTCGGCGTCGATGACGTGGCGGGTGCCTCGGACTTTGGCGGCTTGTTGACCACTAATTGCTGCTCTGTTGAGGAATCGCCGGCGTGCTGCTCCATTACGCGAGTCAACGTGCGGAAGACCACTTCGGAGATGCCGTCGTAGCCGATCATATCTGGTACCAATACAACTCAATCAGTCAAACGCAATGTTCATGCTGTTTCACAAGCCTAGGATGCGAACGCACCGTGTGATAGAGTGACCTGGATGATCTCGTGTGCAGCGATTGGCGGGGCGACAGCATTGATGATGTCCGTCCAGCCTTTGCGGCCGACTTGCGTCAGATCTGCGCCGATTTTTTCCAAGCCAGTCTCTTGCAGCAAGCCTCGCATATTCTGCGCAAATCCCCAGCCCTTGGCACTCAGCTCTTTGGCCTGCTCGGAATTCGCGCGCTTTTCCAGCTCTGCTCGTGCATTGTCCGCGAGCTTTGTTGCTTGAGTCCACACGCTTCCCCATGCTCCCCAGGCACCAGCATTACCACCTGCACCAGCGCCTGCGGGAGCTGATGAGGTGGCACCCGTCACGGCTTCGGCGGCTGAGTCAGGCTGGATGGCAGCTGGATCTAGGTCTGCAGACGCCCCTGTCCCCGATGCAGTCGATGTGTCTTGGGTTAACCTTGATTTGGAGAGGCCAGTTTCACTCGTGGTCCGGCTCAGAGAGGTAGTCTTGCTCGGTGTCCCCCCTCTCGAGCTAGCCCCCCGACTGAGCGGCCTCCGCTGCACTAACGAGTCCAAGTCGTCCAGCAAGCTTTGCGCGTCCGGATGCTCACCAGACTTCTTCCCAGTGGATGCCGTTGGTGCGACAGTCGCTGTGGCAGCCTCGCTGCTGGACCGAGCAGCCGTATCGGTTTGCGAAGAAGAAGAGGACAGCGGAGCCAGCGAGTCAAGGTCGGATAGGAGCTTCTCCACGTCGTCTTTGCCTTTTCTAGCACCTGCGGCAGTGCGGACCGAGACCTTCGGCGACATTGCTACCGATGCCTTTGCTGGAGCTTTCCAAGCAATTAATACACTAGCAGCAATGGCAGATGATGCGTATGCAACACCGGCAGGCTGGACTCGGGTATCAGATGGATGGGCGCCTGTCAAAGATTGAAGGGAGTAAAAGGCCGAGTTAATTAACGATGACGAAACGTCTGACCCAAAAGCTGTGTTCTTGTGCCACTCTGCAGTACCTTGGGACAACAGCATGCAGCGTGTGATCGGTGACGCGCCGACGCACCACATGCAAGACCCTGTTGCTGCCTGCAATCGCCATCGTCACGTCTCGAGTCGCACAGACTCGCCCCCTTAAGACTGTTGTATCGGTTCATCTCTGGTCACACTGAGTACGCAGGCCTTACCGTCTTACCCCCTGATATAATCTTCAAAAGGGCCGTGACATTAAGACCCACTGGCGAGCGTAGCCCGTGGTCCAGTTTCCCCTCCAAGGCGTCTTCACCATGGCGAACAGCCCAGCCGTGGCCGATCGTGGCCGTGGCACTACTCCGGTCAGGCTGACAGCATTTTTTTATTGGATGGTCATTTTCATCATCCTCTCTGCGTTTCAATACGGCTGGGGCATCGCTGAGCTGAATGTGTTGCAAGATGCTCTTACTTGTAAGGAAGACAACTTAACTCATGAATCAACATCCAAGGGTACGCCGGGGAATGACTGCATCGGTCTCACAGAGACGCAGTTCGGCTATGTCACGGCTCTTTTCACCGTCGGAGGTTTTCTCAGCTCGCTTTCGCTCTCAACCATCGCACAGCGCCTGCAATTTGGGCAGAGGATATCAATTTTTCTGGCTGCGCTCTTCAATACGACAGGCGGCGCCATCATTTCCATGTCGGCAGGGTTCGTGTCCGCGGGTGTTGGAAGGTTCGTCATGGGCCTCGGTGCTGGTATCGCAGTTGTCTGCGTTCCAATCTATCTGAGGTGAGCTGTACAAGCGTTTCGAGCGCCATTCATCCAAACTGACGGCTTGCCCATCGACGTGCAACCAGCGATATTTCTCCACCTGCATTAAAAGGATCTGTTGGCGTCCTCAATCAAGTGGGCCAGTGCGAGCAAAAACGGTCCGCATAGCACAGAAGTTGACATCGCATTCTTGACAGCTTGGAATTGTGTTGGGCATTTTTGCAGCCCAGGTTACTGGCTCACTCTTGACCTCTCCCGGGCACTCAATATCGTGGCGGTGGACACCAGGCATCAGTGCGGTAATTTCAGCCGCACAGCTTGTCTGCGGCATGCTGTTCGCTCTCGAAAGCCCACGCTGGGAGGAGGAGAAAAATGGCGACGCAGGGAAACAGCGTGCTCAGCGTATCTGTGCCAAGCTCTGGTCCTCGACTGGCGCAGCGGCGCAGTCCAGGCACTCGAGTGCTAATGAAGAGACCGAAGCGCTTCTGCAGGACCGATCTCACTTTCAGTCGCCGCACATGCCTTCCACACATGAAACGAGTTTTGCAGATCTATTGAAAGATTCAGAGATCCGACCGGGCATGGTGTTGATCGCATTCACCCAGCTAGGGCAACAGCTGAGTGGCGTCAACGCTGTGCTCTACTACAGCACTGGCATTCTCGGGAGCTTGCTCAAGGATGATAACGGGGCACGAGCCAGTGCAAGGTGGATGGGAGTGGGAATCACCGTTGTTAATGCGGTTATGACGTGCGTACCATAGGTTTCACGCATCGTCATTGGTGACACTGACAACTGGCTTTCATTATCCTGCCCGCAGTTTCCCTCCCATTTTCTTGATCCCTGAGCACCGCTTCGGTCGCAAGAATCTCTTACTCCTCTCGTCCGGAACGATGGTGCTATCAAGTCTGGTGCTCGGCCTAAGTTTGCAACTTGGATGGTCAGACATTCTAAGCGCAGCGTGCCTCTTGCTTTTCGTGATGGGTTTCTCCGTTGGTCTTGGACCGTGAGTGTACGCGCATGAGGTTGGTCTGAATACACAAGTTGACCCGTGGTACCGATTTGCAGGGTGCCATTCCTCATCTTGCCTGAGCTAGTACCTGCTAGGGTGAGTCACGTTATCTTTACGCTTCACTGAAGGCCAGCTTTGCTTCGATGCTGACATCGCACGCCACCTGCTGCTCACAGGCCATGTCGCACGCGTCGTCTGTCGGCCTGGCGCTCAACTGGGTTGCAAACATCGTCCTCGCATCATCATTCTTGCCACTGCGATACTTCTTTGCGAGCATCGACGGTGGACGCGGGGGGAGCATTTTCTGGGTCTTCACCGTCGTCAACACGCTCACTTTCTTCGTCGTCCTCAAAAAATATCGGTATTCGGGCGATGAAATGCGTCGACTAACGTCCGCCGGCGATGGCACAGCCCCAGCCGAACTGAATTGAGCGAGGAAAGGCGTCACAAAGTGTCCTATCTTTGTAGATTGAGCGAGCCCTTGTACTTGTAAACGACGTAACATGCATCTGTACTTGTAAGCACGCTCTGCGATAGAGATGGAAAGTGAATGTCTTTGCCGCAGTCGTTTCGTGCACCACGTATTGGTTAGCCCCGCCGGAGTCACAATGATGCTGAAGCCAATATTTCAGCTTGGTGAAGCAGGAGTCAAAACCAATATTCAACAAGGTATGCCATTTCCCTCATCGTGTCTCAATCAAACATGAATTCAGAGTGTGCTCTTGACGATAAATCCCCCGAGCTTAACATGAACCCCGAGGAATGGGCGGCCCAGCAAAGGCTCAAAGAATTAGCAGACCGCGTCGGTTGGAGCGGCTCGATCAGGGGCTCCAAATGGCCAGTCTCCCACCCGACGAATCGATGATGCAGCCAGATCCGGGTTGTCGACCGCCTCCAGACCGCCTTCAGCCTCCCGGCATTCCGGTCGTGACTCCAACAAAATCCTTTGATAAAGGCAGCAGCAGCATGTATGAACTCGTCTAGCAAGTCTCACGTTGCAGTCTCAATTCACATCTCTCGTTTGTTTTGAGAAAGCCAAGCGGCTGCACGCGTCCTGGCTGACGCGTCACTCTACATTCTGTGGTTTGCCGCAATTGTTCCGTTTCTTTCCTGTGCCCTCATGCCCTCACCATAAGTGCTTTGATGGGTTGGGTTCCGCGCCACTTGTTGCTACTTGAAGCGTGGATCTGCCGCTCCTCGTTAGGCAAAACGCCAAATGCCCTTTTGGACGAGGCCAAGCAAGTTGGATGAACCATCCTTCCTTCAAGGCACTTTTTGTATCTATGAAAACACCCAAGCAGGCCAACCCCGCCCACATCTCCTCCCACCTTTCGCGCGCTCATCGGTTGTCGCCTTCGAGACACCGCTTGAATCCCATCCGCAGCCCCGGACAGCTCTTGTAACAGCGTGCGCTACGAGATATCGCGCTGTCTACCCCTTCCGCTCACTCGTTATCCTGTTCATTCCAGCCAGAAGTGTCTGGTAGCAAACGAATCCAGATACAAGGATCCCAGCTGCCTGATAAGGGAAACGACTACCGAGCACACCTACCACTTTCAAGATGCGGCTCCTCCATTTAGGGCTCTGGCTAGCAGCAATGTCCTCCTCTCTTGTTGCTGCACAGGTCGGGCCCTTGTCTAATACAGATCCTAATATCCCGGCGGATACTACATCAACTTGCGCCAACACCATAATATCGTTGAACAAAGACGATGACAGCAAAGCATGCATTAGCCGGCTCGCGGGCGTAGTGAAAGGCTATATGACTGCAAGCAATGCACCAGGTACAACAGAAGCAGCGAACGCGAATGCGCTCAAGGCAGCGCTCAATGCCCTCTGTGCACCTGGCGCAGGCTGTGACGCGGGAATGTTGAAGGGAAAGCTCAAGGCGTTTTCGGATACATGCATGACAGACCTGGTAGCACAGTCGCAATACGTCATGGGAATCTACGACCAGCTGTACCTCCTGAGTCCCTTTCTGCAAGCGTTGTGCACGAAGGATACCTCGGGAGAATACTGCATTAAGTGAGCTTGGTTCAAGATTTTGGCTGCATAGGCCGAGCTGACTGGTACAATGCTTCTACATGCTTAGCACCCTTTCGCAAAATGGAAATGCGAAGAGCACAACGTCATCAAGGCGCAGCGTCGCAGGTGACATGAAGGATCACAGCGAGCCTCCTCAGCAAGTGTGGCGATCGATCGACAGTACTACTCATGAAAAGCGACAGGGAACAGAACCAAGCTCAGGCGATGCATCTCAGACTTCAGACAATATCCCGTTCCTATTCATCCAGCCCACTTCGCCCAAGTCCATCCTCTGCGGCACGTGCACACAGAAAATTCTTGCTGCTTACATCAATTTTGAGACAGCTTCACCGTATGCTATTGGTCTGAAAAATAGCCCCAACTTGAACAGCCAGTCGGCACTGTACAAGGCAGGCAAGGAGACGTGCGGCGACACGTGGGCCAGAAGTGTCAACCAGCTCGCAGGTACGACAGCGTTTGCGGATGTCAGCGCTGCGCATCACGGCAGCGGAGATGCCGGATCCATGCTTCACGTCGCTCTCGTTGGCGCCTCGGTCTCCTTGGCCGCTCTACTTCTATGATCACGAGTAAGGTCCGCCGGTCGACTCGGCTCAACCACTGAGTCCTGGCTTGCGATATTTCTTTCTTCAACCGGCGGCTGGAAACACCGGTCATTATTCATTGTTCTATCAGTAACGCCCTTCGATCGAATTCCATACCCCATCTTAGCTCGGCGTATCTCCTGGTTCTTCGATTCCTTGTCTTCGCTCGTCACCTTCCTTATCTACCCGACGCTCTCTTGAAGTGGATATCACATCTCAAGACCCAAGAAGAATAAATGTATAGTTGAAACTTGAGCTTCGCTTATGACTGGATTTTCAAGGTGCTTCAGCGGCTCAAATTTCATCTTCTCTCCCGTGAAAATGCAATGAATGGATGGATATCTAACTATCCTACAGGGTTCATACGATTATCGTATGTGTTTTATTGAAAGGCAGTTCAGAGCAGCTTGAGATGCCCGGTAATTTGGTCGACAAGTTTGACGGGTCCTGGTCCAATCCCAAGCACTGTCCTTGACCCAGCGGCGATCTGCGTCCTGCCAGCGTCGAGGATGCTCCTTGCGCAGAGTCCTGCGCTTTTCGCCCGTCTCTCCAGAGCAAGCATTTCTTCTTCGGTGCTGATCTTCAACGCGACTTTGGTCTGACCGTAGCGCTCCCAATGCTGCAGGAGAGACGGATTCTGCTTCTGCATTGCCTTGTAACATGCCAAGGTCGCGTGCGAACATTGCGCGGCGATCTTGCCCTTGTCCATCTTGAGATCGGTGCGCACGACAAGTACGAGCTTGCATTCTTCCAGTATCCCGGCGCGCAGCCGATTCATGGCAACTTTGTCGTCGTCAATGATGTCCTCTGCTCCGTCTTCGTCTTCGGAGTCAGATGCTTCGGCGGCACGGCGAGAGGCTTTCGCCTTGTAGGAAAACAAGCTGTAACCGGTGCCGAGGTAGAAGCCGATGATCGTAGAGGAAATGCCCAGCGCTAAAAATGCAGGTACTGTCTCCCAGGGGAATGAAGTCAGAACCAAATGCCAGATCGCACGCTGTAGTAGGACATCAGGATGAGGACACACCATTACTGTCGGCGTGAGGCCATAAGCTAGAGGCCATTGCGCATCACGCCCGATGCTGCGGTGAATACCCTCGTCGGCAGCCTCAGTCGCGTGGGCACAGCGAATGCCTTTTGATTCTTGTGAACAGAAGCGCTGCGTTGAAATCTCTCACCATTGACTGGGAATTGGGAAAGTGGTCGCATGCATAAAGTCGCACAAAAAGGAATTTGAAAGTGAGCGCAGTGAGTGCACTCATATTACTCATGAACGGTGCATGACGAGCACTTCAGCCAGGTTGTTGTGCAAGTAACAAACACCCTCGTTTTTGAGAAAATTCGGTGACAAGCCATTCCGGTCAGTTTGTGTTCGCCTCCAGGAGATCTCCTCGAAGCTTGCCCTTTCTTCCATTACTGACCCTGAATTCTAGCAATTCTATGTAAAGAAAACCGCATCTTTCGAGCTAATCAAGTATTTCCAGATCTAGACGCCACGAATGCCACAGATTATGCCTGAGTTTTTTTTTTCGCTGCGTCTTTTCCCCATGCATACCGTGATACGGCATGTCGATCAGACGGCACCCACGACGCAGCCTTGAAAGCCACTTTATTACACATGAAGTGGCACCCAGTCAAGCACATGTCTACATGGTAAGTGCAAACGGAGTCACTGTTGGGGCTCAAAATGTTCGATTCAGCAGCTCGCTAACGGATACGTCAAAGGTGAACAGCTGGAAAGAGTCAAAGTCAACTGCCTTCATCTGCGGACACCTTGCAAGAGGGGCCGTTCGTTCCGACCCCCTCGAGAGGTCTCGCCGTGTTTGTCTGGGGTCGACCCCTCAAGCCTCCCAGCAACAGCGCAGCTCGAATCGCTGAGACGGACCTGCTAATTCTCAGATCGGACACCACCGCTGACTACTTTGTTGAACAAGCGTCGAGACACGAGACGTGAGGCTACCGCTGAATACAAGTCAGCATGTCCTCTCCCCAGCACAGTGGCCGACTCGAGACGCGAAACTCGTCTCCGCAGCCCCATGACGAGAGAAAGCAACACCACCAGCTGGAACAAGACCTAGATGCGGCGAGGCAAATGAGCAGGGTTCGGCAGAGCAGCTTCTCCCACCATCCAGGTAAGCTGTCGCGCTCAATGCTTTCCAAAGCCTTTCCTTCCGAAAAGCTATTTATTGCCGCTCTCTCTTCACAATACACCTAGGTTCAGTATCGCCACCACGAGCGTCTCCCATTGTCTCACGCTGTGCCGAGCCCGATCCATTTTTCGAAGACCGAATGCCGGTCGCGGGATCGCCATTGAATGTCCGGCAGCGTAACGACAGCTTGAGCGGTGCTGCTGCCTCCCCTCTCGCGCTTAGCTCCTCCATAGTCCCCATTTCCGCAAGCCAGCAGCGTACCTCGCCCGCCGTTGCTCGTTTCTATCAGCACCATGGACGAAGAGGTTCCAATGCCAGCGTGAACAGCGAGAGTCACTTCATCGATCACCGACACCAGCAGCACTCACTCGGTGCCAACGCCAACTACAATATGGGCCGCAGCTACAGGGGCCCTGCCAGCATGCGACCGCTAGGCACACTGATAGGCCGGCCAGAAAGGGTTGGCGACGAGTCGACAGCTATGGACGACGGGGACACATCATCCCGGGCCGTAGCAGATGGCGATCGCTTCCATGCTGGCCCGACGCCGGCGAGTCCATCGCAGATGCTCGATATGGGGTCTGGACAAGGAGCGGGGGCAGCAGCCGGCCGCAATGATGGCGCCTCGCCACGCACACTTTCGCGACGTGCTTCCATGGTCGAAGATGATGTGTGTTTCCCCCTTCCCGCGCGATCGCCTCACGCCGAGCATCATCCCCACCCAAGCGAGCTATACGGGGGGTATGCCGATGATTACATGGACGATCATGACGCTCCGCACCATGCGGCTGAGAGTGGCGTAGAGCTGCCACCAGGCTATCCTTACACCTTCGATCTGCAGGCGCTAGAGGACTTTGCTGGTGAGGAGCGAGCGCGAGCGGAAGCCTCCACGAGCCAGGGAAAGATTGGCGCTGGCGGACTTCGGCACCGCGCGGGAGGCGCAGCGCGTAATTCCAGACAGCTCAGCATTGCCAGCGCTGCAGCATATGGCATATCTCCCGAGTCGGACGATGCAACTTTCTACTCCCGCCGGCCTCGCAAATACACACCAGACGAGGCGGCGGCCGCTCGCGGCATTGTCGGCGGATTGTCGGCCGGGACGAGCAAGTACCAGCGAAAACTTGCGCTATTTGAATCGCACGCTGGAAGTGCCGATCCGCCTAGTATCCCAGGTGTGCCGCGCACGGGTGATCGCTCGACCACTGGAGGCGAGTGGGCGATCGGCAACATTATGGGATCAGGCGCCCTGCTCGAAGAGGAACGCAGGAAAGTGAGTCGCTCGGATGTCAAGACGCCGTTGCTCAAGGACACAGATCACGCGCCGGCTTATGACGGCACATATGGCGAACTCAAAGATGAAGCAGCCGGTAAGCTACGCGGCCACTCTTCGGGAATTTTTAGCCCCAGTGGGGGCGGCGGTCCCAGCGGCACCGGGAGGGATATGTCCGAGAAGGATAAGCCATACCGCTTCACTTTCTACTCGAATGCACTTTCTTCGACCATTCATGCCAGGCATCTCTTTGAGCTGCCGGCGCCAGACCAGACATTCGAGGATCTACTGCGTGGACGCCCACCACGCGATGCTTCAGAAGAAGCCGAGGAGGGCAACGACCGAACGAAAGAATATCAGAGTCAAAGCCAGAGTCAAAGTCATAGTCGGCCTCCCAGCCAAGCAGGCATGAATGCAGCGCACAGCGCGTCGCGCATCGCACCCCTCGTTAGCAACGCAGGTGCCGGCGCACAAGGACGGGTCGAGGGGGTGACGGCTCCGCCGACACGGACTGGCACCCCGTTAGTGGGAGATGGAAATGGCGGATTTGGACGAGCTCAATCGCCCTTCCCTGGTGGACTGTCTGCAGCAAAGATAGCGATGCAGAACTCGGCTTTGACAACTGCGACGAGTGGACAGCCTAGTGGGAGCTGTACCGGCAATGGGCACAGCGACACCACTGCCACGAATCAAGGCAACGGAAATGGTAATGGCAAGGGAGCACACAACGGCAAAGTTGCTCCGGAGCTGGCCAAGACGTTACCAGGCGGACAGATTATGATGGATAATGACCCGGAGGCAAACACATGGTGGCTGGACGTGCTGTGTCCGACTGATCAAGAGATGAAGCTGCTTGCAAGGGTGAATATGCGACATGTGAAATGACATTACTGCTGCACAGTGGCTGACCTCGATGCCCTGGTCCCTTTTTTTCCTTTACAGGTCTTTGGTATCCACCCCTTGACTACAGAGGATATCCTAATGGAAGAGACGCGCGAGAAGATCGAACTTTTCCGCAACTATTACCTTGTCTGCTTCCGCTCCTTCGATCAAGACCCTTACAGCCCAACCTACTTGGAGCCGCTGAATATGTACATCATCGTCTTCCGCGAGGGCACGCTTTCCTTCCATTTCAAGGCGACACCGCATCCGCAAAATGTCCGCAGACGCATCAAGCAGCTTAAAGACTACATCAATGTCACGAGCGACTGGATCTCGTACGCCCTCATTGACGACATCACCGATGCGTTTGGACCGCTCATCCAAAACATTGAGTACGAAGTTGACTCTATCGATGAGTTGGTGCTGATCCTGCGCGAGGCAGAACAGAGTGACATGCTGCGAAGGTGTGTACCTGCTATGGCGCCCTGCTTACAGAATGCGAAGTGAATATGCTGACGGCGATGCTTTTCTTGCAAATTTACCGCCAGAATCGGTACTTGCCGCAAGAAGGTCATGGGCTTGTTGCGTCTGATGGGCAACAAGGCAGATGTCGTCAAAGGTCTTGCCAAACGTTGCAATGAGAATTGGTCCGTCGCGCCTAAGTCAGATATTGGCCTCTACCTTTCCGACATTCAAGATCACTTGATCACCATGACCCAAAAGTGAGGGCGCGGTCCTTGGGGTGCCAGGAAGCTTACAGAGGCATTAACTCGTTGCTTTTCGTTCTTCCTATCAGCCTGAACCATTACGAAAAGATTCTCAGTCGCTCGCATTCAAACTATCTTGCGCAAATTTCGATTGAGATGACAGATGCAAACAATGAGGTGTGTGCCAACGCGCCCTTTGCAGTCTTCAGCTTCCAGGTGCTTATACCTGCTCTCTTTGAAACCAGATTAATGACGTCTTGAGCAAGCTGACTGCGCTGGGTACGGTCATAGTACCGCTAAATGTCATCACTGGTCTCTGGGGTGTGAGTGACGAGCAATACCTTTTCTCTTCCTGAGCGCCACGCTCGCAGCTGACTTTTTGACGTTTCGTCGATCACAGATGAACGTCAATGTCCCCGGTCAAGATGTCACAAACCTTTACTGGTTTGGTGGGATTGTTTCTGTCATGGTGGTCATTGCCGTGTCGGGCTACTTTGCCGCCATCCGATATCTAAAGCGTTGATGTCCTTCATCGCTACCTCCGCTCGGAGGAAACTTTCCTTTGCCACTTGCCTCGCCTCGCCGGGGAGTTCGTTCGAGTTCTACTCGATCTCATTCGCTTCGGTGGCACATAGATTCCTGAGACCTGGCAGCATACCTGTACATTCCTCATGAATGCGCTGAGTGTGATTATTGTACATAGATGCTGAAGGAAATGAAACCTGATGGCACCATCTGGACCTCCACACTTTGGTTGCTTTCCCGGGGAGTGCACGATGGTCTCGAGCGCGTGGGGTGTTGTCGCCACATACCCTTCAAGCCGCATGGACCAGCCAAAATTCCGGGAAGCCTTTGCTCTCCGGGTCATTCGTCTTGCCCGGTTCGACTGATCCGTCGCTAGTGCACCATATCCGCCTGAGTCGTACATTAGCGTGAACATGAATGTATGCGATGCTTTTGAACCCTTCGATCCGCTTACACTGCCCTTGAACGTCCTGCTGTGTATGAGATGATATATGCTCCTGTGCGGCATGCTGTAATGACGAATTGTTGAACAGCTTAATGAGACGGTGTAAGGGCAAGCTCATGACAGACCAAGCGGTGAGCGCGGTCGGATCTTTGGCTGGTGAAGTTGGCAGGTCGAGAGGAAGATGCAGTAGGGGGCTCCCAGTCATGTCTGAGCTTGTATTCCGCACTGGAAGATAGAGGCTCGCGTCGCGCTGGAAAGTGCTCGCTCGTATGCGAGCCAATTGCCCCCGTGCGTCACGCACGCCGACCTCAAGACTTAACGGTCGGGCGCGGCCACCGATGCCGTCCAGAGGTGCAAGGTGAAGATGCAAGAAGGGCAGACCTTCAAGCGCCATCTCCGTTTGTGCCACTGTAGCTCCAGCCTCGGGTGAGAATGTGGGCGCGCCAGAAGAGCCTAGAGGCGGACATCGCAGCATAGTGGCCTTGATATTCGGACTCTGGAGGTGAAGAACGGTTTCTGAAAGTCGCCTGCCCGGCCGGCTGCTTGCGTGGAAGATAGGCCCATCAGCACCCGGTAAGGTCACTTGGCCTTTTCCAGATTGGCTACACAGCTTGAATCGGCGTACGTCACGAGCGAGCCGAGTCGGATCATTCTCAGCACTGTCCAACTGCTGGTCAGTGTCATCGTACAGGAAGACAGCGCCGCTGTCTTCGGGAAGCGCACGGTCGGCATGGACGCTGAACAAAGTGAGCGGCGCGGAGGACGTGGACGTGAAGAGGGTCAGAGGAGATGGGGGCTTTGCTCCATTGAACATCTAGTCTGTCCCAAGTCGAGCGTCGCATCAACCCTCTTCTAGAAGCTGATGTACACACATCAATAGAAAGAGCATGGTGGTTTCGATCACACAACAGCGGTGACTTGGCTGATGGTTATAGGTGGTTGGCCGTATGGTCTGCTGGGGGCAATCAGCTGGCGGGCTTGTCCAGCCGGCTTTGCAAGCGACCCGCCGTTACCGGCCTTTGCGGTCGGCAGCACTGAACGAGTCTCTTTTAACCCACCTTCAAGCACTCGTCATTACCACGTCCATCTCTCTGGAACATCCCCCCGGGGATCCAGTACCCCCCGGCAACAAGTCAGGTCCATTGGCCATCGCTGACTCCCCTCCTTTTCACTTTCCCTCTGCACACACCGATACCATGCAGCCCGAAAGCGACTGGCAGGAAGGAGGCCAAATCAGGTGAAGGAGGCATAGCCGCGAATTCATCACAAACTCGTCGCGGTGTGTGGTGCTCAGTTGTACACGCTGCGACCGCTGTCGATCACTGCTAATCGGCAAGTCGGTCCCCGCAAATACAACCCCGCACTATTCGATTTAGATCGGTGGATCACTGGGGACCTACGCACAAAAACCTATCATTGCAGTCTAGGCTGCATCTGCATTATGAGGAGGACTCAGGGATTTTCAGCCGCGGCAGCGGCTTCAGGTTCAGCGTCGGTTTTTACCCCGCCCGCATTATCATGTTTGCAAGCCTCAAAGCGACAATGCTGTACGCTTCCAGCGGCAACGCTCACATCCGCTCATCTTCAAGCACGCCACGTCTCTTCCAGTACGCTGAAACGCGGCCGCAGCTCGACATCTGCAGCTGGAAAGAATCACTCCCTCCCCGATCCTCTAAACAGTACTGGCTCGGTGGCGGCACCTTTGCGCGCTGCCAGCCCCGTTGATCTGGCTTCTGGCCCAAGAAGCAGCGAAATCGATGCTGACTTGGCTGCTGCAAGAGCTAGGGCTGCGCTGAGGCGCATATGGAACGAGCCGGGTTACCGAGCCAGGTATCGGCAGGCGGATCCAGCTGTGGGCCAGGCTCCCATGTTTTCATCTTTGCAAGCGATTAGTACCAGCACCTTGGCTCAAGCAAGAATTGCATCTTCATCTGCCGGCGCAGGCAGCTCAGTGTCTGCTGTTCCACCCTCATTAGCAGCCCTTCGATCATCCAATTCTGCGACATCGACTTTGAAAGCCAACTCATCGTCATCTCTGTCTCGCACTCCTACTTCTTCCGCTGCATCCGCGACTCCATTAGCAGCATCTCAACAGCAGACAAGGAAGAATTCAACCACCCGAGGAAATGGTGATGGTGATGGTGGTGGCGACGATGCCGATTGGGCCTTTGGAGGCGGGTCCATGTCCCAGAGCGGACCCTGGGGCGCTGGCGCGCGTACAAGCGGCCCTATACGCTTTGGCACAGGCTTGCACAACTACGACCAGGGTTCATACCAACAGCCACCTGCCACTGCCGAAGTGCAGAATCTTGGAATCGTGGGTAACGCAGGGAAAGGAGCGACCCCAAATTATGGCCGAAAGAAACGGATCGTCAAGCCAAAGCCAGATGAAGTGCCTGATGACGCGGCGCAAGACGTAGGTGCCGCTAACAGAGTGAAGAGGGAGAAGGCTGATCGAGAATTCGCAGCTGGCTATGTGCACAAGGTAAGATTTTGCCGCATCGAGGCCGAGATTGCACAAGAAAGTTAACGTATTGCCTTACGCAGTATGCTCCCTCAACCCGCTCGCCTGACCCTTTGCCACAGCACACCTACTTTTCGTCGCCCTCGTCGTCGTTCAATGCTTCGTCTTTCGTTGCACCCGGCACAGCTCCCCCTTTGTCGCGCGTCCTTTCCGCAGCGGGTGTCGGCGAGTACCTCCCAGGTGGGGTTCCAAAGCGCAAAAAGACGGCGGTGATTATGGCAGGTCAAGGGAGTCAGTACATCGGGATGGGTAAGAACATGTACAAAACTTTTCGCTCGGCGAGGGCCATCTGGCATACGGCGGAGGAAGCGCTGCTCTGGACCCCAGGCAGGCAATACCGGAACCAGAGGGGCCCAACCTCACCCTTCGGGGCGCCATTTGAGGAGTACGCGAAGTCTTCAGAGCAGAGGGAGCTGTTCGAGGAGGAACTAGCCAAGACGGCGCATTGGGATCCGAAGCAAGGATTCGCGGCAACGGGAACAGCCGTCACGAGGGGCAAGAGAGGCTGGCTGAGAGATCTTGTGGTAGGTTTGGCTAACACAGCAGTCTCATCGATCAGATTTAGCAAAGAGCTAATGACTTTCCTTTCGCGACAACAGTTCTCAGGAGATCAGCTTGACTTGACTCGCGCTGAGAATGCACAGCCAGCCATTTTGACATGCACTATGGCTTTCCTGACTGTCCTCAAAGAAGAGTTCAACGTCGACCTCGTGGCAGACCATATGGACACTGCCGCTGGGCACGGCACTGGCAACTACGCTACCATGGTCGCTGCTGGCGTCTGCGACCTGACTGATGCGGTCCGACTGCTCCGACATCGCGGTCTCACGTCGAGCCACTTCCTTGCCCAGAATCCAGTCCTATTTCCCCCCGGCTGCAAGCCTCCACTCAGCGTGTACGAGACTTGGGGTTTCAGTAACGCCGGCAGCGGCAAAGGCGCGACGCTTCTGAATGGGAGCGCTGGGTTGAGGAGTGGCACACGTGCAGTTCAGGATGAAGAGATGAACGAGACGAGCACAATGGAAGGGCTCTCCGGCCACGGCTGGCGGCGATCGCAGATGTCCGGCGTCGTGCTGAAGCCCGGAAAGTTACAAGCAGCGCTTGCCGAGGTTGAAAGAGTTGCTGCGGATATCAAAGCCGGTCGCGTTCCCGAATTTCACCCGGATGAATTTGTCGAAGTGGCGAACTACAACTCATCCCTGCAGATCGTCCTTGCCGGCACGAAGCTCGGCGTCTCCTACGCATGCGATCGGTTGCGCGCAAAGGGTCTCGGCGCGCGGGCGGTGAACCTGCCTGTCTCGGGTCCTTACCACACGTCCATCATGAAAGAAGCTGCTGACTTCCTCAAGCCAGCCGTGGAGTACCTGCCACTGCGCGACCCGTGCGGCCTCGAGCTCGTCAGCAGCTTCTCTGGTGCTATATTACCGAACGTCCAGTACATCCGCGATGACCTCAGTGGCGCGTTCGCGCGGCCTGTGCGCTGGCACCACTCAATCGAAACGATGGTCTTACGCGGCGTCGAACGCTTCATCTGTCTCGGGCCAGGGCGCGCGTGCGCGCACCTGCTCAGCAAGGAGCTGGCGTACCGCGACCGCCTCGCGCGCGCGGACCACGAGGCGGGGCGCGCGCCACCGCCTCAAGCGGAATTTGAGGTGTGGAGCGTGGCAAGCGTCGAAGATGTCCTGCAGCTCGGTGGCGTACTGGATCGGATCAGCGCCGCGGATGGTCGCGCGAGGCTCCGTCCGCAGATCAGGGACGATGTCATTGCGCTTTGATCCATCTCTTTTCGATGCTTGACGCAGAGAGAGGCTCAAAATCATCGCACCGATGTACAGTAGATCAATCGGTTTTCTCACGCACAGCCTTGCCACATTGCAATCGCTGTACAAACCTGTGCGTGGTCCCCTTGCTGTGCGGAATCGAAGTTACAGCAGCCTCACTTGTTCAGGATGGGCACTTGTCTTGCGCCCCTCTCCTCCTCCGTCAGCACCTTGACGACACGGGCAGGGTTTCCTATGGCAACAGTGTACGGCGGCAGGTCTCTTGTGACGATGCTCCCTGCGCCGACAGTCACACCATCGCCGATGGTCACGCCGGCCATAACGGTGACATTCCCGCCGCTATTGCAAGGGAGCAGCAGGCGGAGGGGAAATCAGCGTCAGCGCTCGTAGGAAGGACCAGTCATGTGCTGGAAGGGAACGCACAGCCAGCAGTCCTTGCCAATTCGGATCGGTAGCGCTCGCTCGTACCCCTCGACACGCTCGGCTGTTGCAATGGAATGAGTTGCTGCATAGAGGTGGACGCTGCAGATTGGATGAAAGAAGGGTAGCGTAAATTTGATGATGTAATGGGTCTTCTGTCAGCATCTTAATCGAAACAATCTCGCAAATATTTGTTCACTTTGGTCCGAATAAAGTACCATCGCCAATAGTGATTTCTGCTGCGTCCCTGCAAGACGAGAATTGGTCACATGTGAATTAGTGCTGCGGTACTCTCTTCGGAAGTGTCGCAACCCGCGAATCTTTGGGAGAATACGCACAAGATTGTCGTGTTCCAGTTGCAGTAAAACGCGCCTTCCAGCTTGATGTTTGTTCCATAATCGCACCAGAATGGCGGCTCAATCTCGACGCGCTGCACACTGTCCTTGCCAACACCGAGCAGCTTGGAGATGAGCTCGCGACGCTCATCGCCCATGACGTCCGGTGGAGGTGAGTCTCCTGCTCCAATTGACGACCCGCCGATGCCTTGCGGCTGTTGCCCCGCGGGTAGATCGCTTGGATCGGTGGGATTGGGCAGGGACGCGTTGAATGCATGGAAGATCCGGCGCGCTCGTAGACGTGCGCGCACAAGGGCGGGGTCATTTGCGAGGTACGGAAGGCCTTTCAGAGCCTGTCAGGCGGAATGCAGACGAACTTTCAGTGAGTATCGAACGCTACTGCATGACAGCCCTGATATGTCATTCGGCTACACGTACCCGCTCCGTGTGACTCATCTGCTGGAGCTGGTTTTTATATTTGGTATCAGCATCGGCGAACTTTTGGCTGGACGTCTTGCCCTTGGGTGCGTGTACGTTGGTTGAGTCGGGAGACATGGCGGCCTTTGCTGATCTGGCGAAATGCACTTGCTACACAGCTTGGAACTGCCAAGGTGATTCAGTGGGAGGAGACGATCAAATAAGACTCAAAGAAGAGGCTCAGACGGAGACCACTTTCTAGAGAGATATGATGGTGCTTAAATCAGAACCAGGCCACAGCGAACGTCAGAGGCAAGCTAATTGGAGCTTGGAATTCGGCGGTGTCTGGATCTACTTGCCACGCGCCGCGGCCCCACTGGCATGGGCTGCGTTATCAATAAGATCGTCCCCTCGCAGTTTGGTGCAAGGACTAGGTGCTACGAGAAGCAGCGGCATCCACGTCTCCACGAGAGTCTTCTGTGAATATAGACAGGTCGACTGCCAGGCAGCAAGGTAATCCCGCGTTACGTGGAGGGGCAACAACCAACCACTCTCCACCTAGCGGTCTTTAGTGCGTGCCAAAACCCGACGGTGAGGTGGCACCGATGTGTAGAACGTTGATAAACCTCGGAATCGTGACACCCCTTGGTCCAGCCACGCATCCCATTGCTGTGAGCCATCTTGACCTTTTTGAATCCACGATCTTCAAGGACTTTGTCGCGGTCTGTTCTCCTCCGCACTCCAAAGTCGGCACCACTCCGTAATCGCACCCCACAGAGCTGGCCCCTACTTGCCCACCAGGTATGTTGCAACCCGGCTGAGCCGCCCCCATCGAATGGACCACCTTCCCCCCCGGCCCCCGAAATTAGCCGGGCGAGGATCACATCTCGGGGATTTCGTCGATTCATATTCTCATCCTCGTCTGGTAGATGGTGTGTTTGGATTCTTTATTGTGCTTGCAACTAGACATTCAGAGGATGGGATTGAGGCTGCGACGAGCAACCAAATACATTCCGTAAGTCCTTAGTTCAACATGCGCGAAAATAATACCAAGCTCTGCTAATAAGATGACAAGACAAGTTCCCTTTCTTCTGAAGGCTGGGACTTCCACGTAAGACGGCCGGCTGCATATACTCTAGAAATAGCATAGAGACTTCGAACAGCTAGCCAAAGTGACTTCATATTGGTGGCCAGGTACACAACTGGATGATGAAGATATCAAGCTGTCTTCCAAACTTGTATAGCCGCAATCCAAGTGGAAGTGTTCGGTTCGGTACCAATACGCGATACTTCTGAGCTAGCTGCTAGAAGAGATCTGGAGCCGCACAAGCTCGCTGTGTAAACGCTGTATGTAGAAGACTAATCCTCATCGATTTCTGTATAGACTTGCCGGCCCAGGCAGTGCGAGCACGGTAGTGGAACGAGCTGTACAGCTCGGGTAGGGACGACGGTTGCTGATGCAGCCTATGCCAGGTAAGACGACGACCAATAGGTAAACCGTGACTCTGGAGAACTATACATCCCTTGGATCAGCCAGGCCGTGCAAAAATGGCTAGACACGGAGCTCAATAAAAGCTTGAAAAAGAAACGTGTCCAGAGCTATGGGTATCTTGTGGATCGTCTCATTGAAAACTTTAATGTGTCGTTGGGTGACTACAAGATGGTTACATGTTCCCCCCACATCACGCTTCTAGCTGAGTATCATTGAGCCAACACTCACTTCCAAGTCAGCACCCTCGCTCTCGCTTCTTGTCTCTCTTTCCCCTCTTTCTTGCAGCCTTGATCGGCAACGTCTCGCATACAAAATTCAATGTGCCTTCTTCGGAAGCATCGTCTTGCGTAGACTCCTTACGATCGACAGAATGCCAATTTTGGCCTCTTGGCCCTGATCCGCCGCAGTCCATCGCCGTGGTGAAGGCGGTGCCACCCGATCCAAGCAAGGGAATGGGATTGGAATAAAAGGAAGAGCATTCCGTGTAATTACTCCACATAATGAAGGGGACCACATTGGCTCCAATTCCTTTTCTCGACATTCATTTGGCGAATTGCTTGCTTCTAGGGAACATTCGCGATATGGAACACTAGTGTGCTAGTCACGTGACGCTCTTGGCTGTGAAAGTGATCAGTGCGCCTTGACTGCCAGCTGTGCAGCGTGTATGTGGTTGAGGTATGGCCACAATCGGCATGAGGTGGGTGCCCAGGCGACCAACTATACCTCCATTCTCCCCTTTGAAATAGCTGGATGCTAGAGGCGATAGCGCAAGGCGCTTGCAGACCATTGGGGGCATCGCATTGTACCATGCTGTGACCTTGGTCGTCTTCCATAGAACGGAGGCGGTTGATGCTTTCGGCAGATCGCCGGTCACGACTGCAAGCATCACACCCACTTCCGTGCTCGGACTGTGGATCGGGAATCAGGGCATGAGGAGTCGAGGACGAGCATGCTGGAATTATTGCTCTCCCAAGCAAATACTCGAGTTTGATCCGGCGAAACGCAGCTACTCGTGATATCTGCGTCTTCGCTCACTCGGCTTGGAGGAGCGGTTCCATCTTTTGATTGGTCCGCCCTGACCCTCAAGCTGCGCAGCGCAACCTCCATCACACATCCCGAATTGGGACGCGGAGTGGGTCTAATTAGATTTCCAAATACGCCTCCAAAGTCGGTCGCATACGCATCGTTCTCCCGAAAACGGACATCCACCATGTCGTCGCATAACAAGCAAAACGGTAGCTTGGCCGCCAACACCAATGGCCTCAACTCCTCGGCTCCCACCTCTAATGCCGCGATAACCCCTTCGCCCGTATCGGAAACAGCAGCCCTCTCGCCAAACCATCCTAGAAATCTGCGCAAGCTGGCTACAGTAGATCTGACCGATGACTACACCATCAAGTCATATGTCGGCGCAGCAAACGCCTTGCGCGACAAGGCGCAAGCTGCAGATTTGCAGGGGCAGCTTGAGCAGGCGTTCGTCAACTACCTCAAGGCAGCCCAGTGAGTAAATCAGTCTAAACACCGACTCCACTGGGCCCGGCGATCAAGATTTCTCACTCATGCATGCTCTCCCGCAGGATTGTGCTGTTTATCCCAAAGCACAAAGAATGGCAGGCAGTCGCCCAGCGCCGCTCTCCAATCTACTATCGCTATCAGGATATCACACAGCGCACGCCAGATATGATTGCGCGCGCCAAGCGGATAGAAGAGCAGCTGATTCAAAGAGAGGAGCGTCGAACACGAGAAGCAGTAGCGGAGGCTGCCGCTCGACAGGCCAGCAGCGATGGGCAGGGGCTCCAAGATGATACTCGGCCCCGCTTACAAGCCAGGGAGGGAATTGAATGTGGAGAGGAGCAGGCATTGTACGAGCTTGATGGCCATCTCGAGGCACTGAGCGTATCAGACGCGCAAATAGAAGATGCTTTGAAGGAATGGGGTAAGTCTTCGAACACAGCAGCATCTGCGTCGTCGTCAGATGTAGCTGCTCGTCAAACGGACCTCTCAGGTCCGCGAGCAAGTTCTTCATCCTCAGCCAGTGCTACATCCTCGGGAGACTCGCATGTGCATTCTTTTGCTCGAGAGGGAAACATCACAACGTCTCTGCATGGTCCTGGAGCCATGCATCCGCGCTCCGGCACGCCAGACCTTAGCACTGAAGATGTGAACGCCAGGACGGATGAGGCAGTGAACAGCCTCGAAGCACGCTTGCAAGCTTTGCGAGGAGGTGCATCTGCTTCCGATACTGCTGTTGGTGGCTCTGCCTCCTCAGCATCTGGGGCTGCGCACAGGTTCGGCCAAGGCGGGCAGCCTGGCAGCACAGATAGCTACAACTCGATTACCGGTAGGCGCTTAGACCATTCTGCAGCATCGGCTACAGGCGGCCGGTTGCGATCCGGTTGGGAACCGCAGGAGCTGGAAATCCCTCACGATGTACGACACTACTACGAGGATGAAGGTGGGGAGCCGACACCACGCGATGACGGCTCTGAAGCGTTCGACCAGCAGTACCCCTCACTCGACGAATTTGAGCGCGAGATCGGTAGCACAAGAGATACAGGTACAGGATCAGGTATAGGGGGATCAGGAAGACAGCCGACAAATGGCTACCATCACGCCGCATTCGCGGAAGAAGGGGAGGAGGGCGAAGCGGCTGGACGGCCAATCTTTCCGACTGCACCGGATCACCAGCCTGGGTTTAAACGTGATATGAGATCGTCGCTGGGTGAGCCGCCTTCACGGCCTGTCGGGTCGTTCCCACCCGCACCACCGACGGAGCTCATGCAAAATGGAGCAGCGCGCACAGTAGCAGGAGCGGTGGCGGGGGAAGATCCTTTGCGGCCTTCTACTGCACCGAATGCATCGTCGACGGCCGCGCAGTCGATCTCGATGACCAGCGCTGCGAGAGCTCGCCCGCTCATTCCGGCTGGCTCCAAGCCTTCATCCAAGGCCGGTCCTTCGGCCATGTGTGCCTCTACGTCCACAACCAGCAGCAGTAACTCCATGACGCATCCAGCCCCGCCGTTGCCGCCGCCGGCGCCACCCTCCGCGCCTGGTGCTGGCGATGGATCATACGGCGTCAAGCCACAGCCTCCCTTGAGCAACCACGTCAAAGCGCATGAGCTATGGCAACTACTCAATCCTGGTTTCGCATCAGTGCGCGATCAAGCGACTGGACGCGAAATCATTCTCAAGCGAAAGGGACTCAGAGTGCTCCTATTGGATCTTAGACCCAAAGAACACTATCAGAAGGGAAGGATCAAGGCGGAGCATATTGTTAATGTCGAGCCGCTCATGCTCAAACCTGGGTAAGTACGTCCCTGTCTTGATCATCCCTCCGCACAAGAGGACGAGTCGCTGATCTTTATCTCGACTGCAGGATGACATCCGACGAGATAGAGAACAAATTGATCTTGTCAACACAAGCGGAGCAGCAGGACTTTGCCAACCGGCATACATTTGATCTCGTCATTCTCTACGATCAGAATTCCAGGTCACTCGGCCCCGTGCCGATCCAAGCAGCTTCAGGCAAGTTGAATTCATCGGATGAGGCACGCGAAAGGTTAGACATCGTGGTCAAGGCCATCTATGAAAGGGAGTTCCGCAAGAACCTGAGGCATCAACCGACTCTTCTGGTGGGAGGCTTCGAATCTTGGATTAGGGCTGTTAGGGAAGATGGCGCTGTAGGCATCGGTGAACCGTCTGGCGAGACTGCAGTCAATGGAGGAGCCGTCAAGCTTCGATCTCCCAGTCAACCTCCACAGGAAAGTGATAGGGTATCATGGCGACAAGGTGCAGTATTGCCGGACGAGATGGATACACCGCATACAACACACTCAGTATATCAGTTCCATCTGACCGCCAATGGCGCCTCCTCACTTACACCGCTACCCCCAGCGGCGGCCTTTGTGGCGCCTTCGCTTCCTGCTCGGGCATATCAAGCCGGTACGCCAGTAGGCATGGACGGTTTCGCTGTGCTTCCTGCGCCATATGCACCTGGTTTTGTCGCATCATCTTCTCAGCCCCACATTCCGTATGGGGCGCCTCAGCCGAGTCGGAAAACAAGCTTTGACTACCCTCAGCTGCGCTCTCAACAGTCTTCAGACACCCCAACACCGCCTCCCGCAGCAGCAGGCAGCAGCACGCGCGCAACACATGGGCGAACAGACTCATCTACCTCCATTCCGCACGCGACGAGGCTGCAGGAATCTCTGCATCGGCCACCGCTCGCCGTCAAGCACACCAACAGCTTGTTCACCTCGTCTCAGGTGGCTCGCGTGCGCATCGGCTTGACAGGATTGAAGAATGTAGGAAACTCGTGCTACATGAACTCGACGCTGCAATGCTTGAGTGCTACGCCCAAGTTCGCGCGCTTCTTCCTCGATGGGAGCTACAAGAAGGCGATCAACGAAACAAATCCGCTTGGAACGAAAGGCGTGCTTGCTGAGGCTTTCGCAGGGCTCATTCGTGTCCTATGGTCGGAGCACTACACCTTTGTCTCACCTGTGACCTTTCGCCAAGCGATCACGCGCTTTGCCCCGGCTTTCCGTGGCTATGACCAGCATGACAGCCAAGAGTTCCTTGCATTCTTGCTCGATGGGCTGCACGAGGACCTCAACTACGTCATCCACAAGCCTCCGCCGGTTGAGATGACTCCACAGCGGGAGGCTGAGCTCGAAACGCTTCCACAGCAGATTGCTAGCGTAAAGGAATGGGCCATTTACCGCCAGCGCAACGACAGTCTCATCGTCGATTTTTTCCAGGGTCAATTTAGAAACAAGATGACATGTCTTACATGCGGCAAGACTTCGGCCACCTACAACGCTTTCATGTACCTGTCTCTTCCGATCCCAAGCGGTCGGGGGATCAGCAAGGTCACGCTGCAGCAGTGCCTCGACGCGTTCGTCAGGGAGGAGATCATGGACAAGGCAGACGCATGGAATTGTCCGCAGTGCAAGAAGCCCCGGAAAGCGACGAAGCGGCTCAGCATCTCGAGACTTCCACATTTCCTCTTGATCCACCTGAAGCGATTCTCCTTCCGCGGGCCCTACACGGACAAGATTGAGACGCGCGTCACGTTCCCAACGAGCGCACTCGATTTGACGAACTACATGCCGCCGCCTCTCCCACCAGGCGCAATAATGAAGGGCGTCCCTGTCAGTGTTAGTCAGCAGCCGCCGTATATGTACGACCTCTTTGCTGTCACACATCACTTTGGAACGCTCAGCTCCGGTCATTATACAGCGACAATCCGCAACAATGGACAGTGGGATTACTGCGATGACAGCCGTATCGTCCGCAACGATGAACGGCAGCTTCATGTGAGTCGAAAGCAGAACGCACTAGTCCTTCGTATTGAGTCTCGCTGCTTACGCGTCCGTCGCGCTTGCAGACCAATTCGCCGTACGTCTTGTGGTTTCAACGACGACCAAATTGAGGCGGGCTTGTATTGCAGCAGACTTATTCTCATGGGTACTTCGGTAGAGCTTCACGCGCCCTGCATTTTGTAAACAAAAAACGTATGCCTGCACATACTACATTGCGACTCTCTTCTCGTCATGACGCAGCTCGACCACTCGCATCTTGCATCTCAACATCGCCCGTCAGCATTTCCCCTGCTTGCGCTGGCGCGGGTTTAGGCGGCGCCGTAGGCGCTTCGGCCATCGTTGCACTTGGCGGTGCACCGGAAGGCACGGCCATTGACGCGGGTGCTGGTGCGGGATCCGACGCAAAAGAAGATGATGCGTTGACGCCGTCAGGCAAAGTGCCGATCGGCGGCAGCTCGCTCCGCTGTGCGTTCCGACCTTTCATCGGGTCCATGATCCCCGGCCCGTTCTTGTGGTTGGTCCGATCTCTGCGCCCACCCTCGCCCTCATCTTCGCTATCGCTCAACTCGCCCTGTCTCTGCACTCGACGATCACGCTCCCTCTGTCGCTTGCTGATCCGCTCATCGCCGTCCATCTTGTCCTCATCCTCGTCGTCGTCCAACATCCCGTCGCGCGGAAGGCGCGGTTCCACGTGTCCTTGCACGCTCGGCGCGTGCGGGATGTGCCGCAGATGCTCAAATACTTGCGACTTGACCTTTTCGAGGTACTCTCGCGTGTTCAGATTCTCCATGTTGTTCGGCCGCACATCTAGCTTGTAGTCCGGACCAAAGTACTCGTAGTACTCGTTGACCGGGACCTCTGGGTAAGCAAAGGAGACATTGGTATGTAAGAGATACGTCTTCCTGACTGTCCATCGGGACATATAACTCCAGTATAATCATGCACTCACGTGAGCTTAGCTCTTTCCCCGCTGCCAAGCCAGTCTCGTACGCCCAAGCGCGACTGACATTGCGAATGGTGTAGCCCCCACCGCCGAGCAGCAGAAGCGGCAGTCCAAAACTCTTGACAAATTCGACGCAGTTGGCATGCCCCCTCATGGACAGGTTGAACGAGCCGATCTTGTCACCTGCTAATGAATCGGAGCCGCACTGCAATACAACGGCACTTGGTTGGTAGGTCTCCATGATCCGTTGGATCACCTGCAGAGGTGCGGTGCAGGCCAAAAGATCAGGTCTGTGCGCGTTCGCATTCGCACTGCGCCGACAGGCACGCAACTCACCGGCTCGAAAACGTTCTTGTATGTCTCATCCGTGATACCATCGCGTAATGGAAAGTTGCAGCTGTAGTTTTTGCCTTTTCCGTATCCAACATCCCTCAACTCTCCCGTACCGGGGAAGAACTCCCCGTACTTGTGGAAGCTGCAGGTCATGACTCTGTCCGTGGTGTAGAATGCCTCTTCTACGCCGTCCCCGTGATGCACATCGATATCAATGTACAGCACACGCGGATGATATCGCAACAGCTCGAGGATGCCGAGGACAATGTCATTGATGTAGCAAAACCCGCTCGCTTCGCCTTTTTTCGCATGATGTAGCCCACCGGCCCAGTTGATTGCAATATCGCACTTGTCACGCGACAGTCGAGCAGCACCTTCCATGGAGCCGCCAGCGCTGATGCTGCAATATTCAAACAGTCCATCGAAGACAGGGCAGTCGTCGCCGACGTTGAACTTTGCTTGCTCTTTGACGAAATTATCGATATTATCCGGGGTTACTCGGTGCAGGAATTCGACGTACTCGTCCGTGTGGAACTGTGACATTTCACGCTTGGTGGCTGGCTTTGCTCTCTGTGGTCGGATACAGAATAGTCACAAATTGGTGATCTGCCCAGCCACACGGAAAGGACTGGGTTCGTTGCTCACTCACAAAGATTTCCATGTGCTTGTAAAGGCCATAGTTCATGACCAGCGAGTGGCACATCCGAATTCTGGTCGGCTTCATCGGGTGACCAGGACCATAGTGGTAGTTCCCAATATCGCTGTCGAAGAAGTAGCATACTCGCGACGGTCGATCTCGCTTGGTTGCTGATGCTGATGCGGATGGTTGAAGCAGGGCAGAACTGCTCCCAGACGCGCTCCCTGCCGCACCGGATGGTTGGAAAGTTGTCGATGTTTGGGCCGTCGGCTGCGGGTTGGGCGGCAGCAATGTCCCATTGCTTGAAGCCATCTCGACAGCCCTAAATTCTACAACACGGTTGCAAATGAGAGTGGGTTCGTGGTTCGCAAGGAAGGTGGCGATGGACTGTCCAACTACTAGAGCCAGCCGCCTGGATCGAATGCCGAGTCTCAATACCGTGCCAATTCTACGCTGCGCTCTCGGGCACGGCGGCAGCTACTGCAATTCCCCGCTGTAGACCAATCCGATGCCTATGCCTGGCTTCCAGAGGTGCTCCAGCGCCGAAGAAGCGGGGCCGGTAGCTAAGCATATACATGACACTTGCTGCTGGAAGATGCTGTGGGAGCGAGATGGTTGACCTACTCATGCGGAGTTGCGTACAGCCTGTCTGCGGGCGGAACTGCCTGCGCTGACTGCTGTGGTCCGCCGCCAGCCAGTGAGTGTAGCCTGAGTTTACGCCGCACACTCCTTCCGTCATGGCTTCAATGGGCGGCTTGTTCTCCTGACCCAGCATGTTACGAGCAACTGCGCCTTGCACCCGCACCGTGTTATCACAGGCCGAGCACAGCTCATCAAGGCACATGCATTCGGGCCTCGGACCGCTACTACTTGCTGTGTGACCTGCCATCAGGCCTGGAGTGACAGTAGGATCAGTATGGCTGCCTTGACCGGCGCAGCTGGCGCGGCGGATCGGACGCTGATCGCCTTGATTGCAGATGAGGTGAGTCAGAGGGAGAGCAGCGGCTTGTGGACTGGGATCTGCTCCGAGCCATCGCATGGCTCACAGAAATGGGAACGAGAAGGCTGAATTACATTGTTTTTTCTTTGACTTCGTGCGCTGTGCCACGTTCTTCAAATCTGCTCGCTCGTCCGACGTACCGTCTCTCCTGAAGGACTCGACAACTGGTCTGCTATTAGCAGGGATAGGCAACATTGACCAGCATGGCAAGAAAAACTTTTTCATTGTGGACAGCAAGGTGCGTGTACTTATTCTGAAAGATATTCTGACTGAATATTTGTCTTGTATGAGCTAGGTTGCTGATCGTTAGACAATTATCCTTTTCGTTCTCCTCATCCCTCTTTGACGCTCGGGCTTCGACCATTGTGTTTTCTGCCTGCACAGACGCCAACATCAGAGATCGAAGCGTCCTTCCTAGAGTACACGTCCGAACGCAAAGATATAGCAATCCTTCTAATCAATCAACACATCGCCAACAAGATCCGGCCCATCGTCGACAAGTACACCCAAGCGTTTCCGGCCTTGCTCGAGATCCCGGCGAAGGACCACCCATACGGTGAGGAGGGAAAACGTCCTCGTGCACCGAGACATGCGTGATTATTTTGTGCTGAGCTGCTGTCTTGGTTTTGGGTTACATTGATAGATCCTTCAAAGGACTCAGTGCTTAGGCGTGTGCAAAAGGTGAGACTCTCTCCCGCCCTTCGCATTGAGTGGTGCCCCGTGTCTGAGTCGCCATTTCCCTTTGTTTTCCTCTTTGCCGCTGAACAGCTCTTCGGCGAGTAACTCTTCCACCGCGCATTCCCATCCCCGGCAGCTTGTCTCGCTGCACATGTATGACCCCTCCTGCCAGGTATCTGTATTTTGTCATGACCTAACTCAACCCTTCTCTTTAACCCACCAATCCGCAATTGAAGGCATTTAGCAGGCAAGGTGATTGCAATGCAAATGATCATGATTTCTTGGTGCTTCTACATGTCAAATTTGAGAGGCCAATTCTGGGTGCGATTACGGTCGGAAGCTTTTCGCTGGAAGTTGCGAAAATGTACCGTGGAACTTTCATGGCCAGCTCGTGTCTATTGGTAATGTCATGCAGGTCATTTCTAATCGTATACGTTAAGAGGGAGCAAGGCGTCTGATGGGAACAGCTACTCATCAAAAAGGAAAGGAAGAGGTGTCAAGATTGTAAATGAAGAAGCTGTGCAAGCTGTGCCCAGGCAGAGACCTACCAAGTTACCGCTTGCGCCCTCCTTCTCCAGCCATCGAGTGGGAAAGACGACTAGATGACCCTGTGTCTCCTCGAGAAGATTTTCCATCTGCCTCAATTCTTCTGGCGAGAAACCGGGGTCCGCACCGTGCGCGCTAGCCGGGCCGCTGTGTCCCTTTCTATCTGCCTTGCCTTTATCCTGGTCGTCCTTTTGGTCCGCTCCACTGTCCTGGTCCCGCCTGCCGCTCAAAGGGCCGGGACGAGCAGTGGATGGAGGAACCGGCGCGGCGCCAGCCTCGTTTTCCCCGTTTTTTCCTGCCGAGTCGACAGTTTGCAATGTCTCTCCTTGTTCAACGTCCGCCTTACCGCTGTCGCTGGTGTTGCCACCCTGGTGGCTGTGACGTTGGCCCTGACTGTCTGTTGAAGAGGTTGAAGTGACTGAAAGCGGGTCAACTGGGAATCGCTGGTTGTACTGGTCAGCGCGATCGTCCAGATGAACTTTCGCGTTAGTGGACGAGGGATTCTGCGAGCGCGACAGACGGTCGGACCACGCCAAGAAAGCCTTGTAGTCTGACCAAGTCGTGACCGTGTCATCAGGAACGCATTTGAAAACCTTGCGGTAGATATGCGTATTTCGCACGGCAATGGCCATCCATCTGTTCTGCAAACAGAAAAATGAAATTTAGAAATGCAAGTTTATTCTCAACAAAATTTAGATGTGGTAAATCCAATATGACTCACGAGGTAGAAATCGTCTGCAATGGGGTCTTCGAAGCAATCAGGGTCTATGTCGATCTGGTCGCCAGGTCGAGACCACGGATTCGCAGAGAGCTTGGTGCTCATCTTGCGCTTGACGCTGTTGCTTCCTTCATCAAGATGGCTGGCAACCGAGGCGGAGCGTGTCGTGTTGTGTGCAGAGTCTCTGCCCGATCTTCCGGATTGGACAGAATTGGCGCGCGATGGTGGGCTCACGTATGTCGCATGCGTGTTTGATTCCTGCCTAGCAAGCACCTGCCCTTCGACGGTTGGCACCACATCGTGTGGCATGGGCTTATCGACAGTCAGACTCTTGGATCTGTCCTCAGTGCAGGAAGTCTGTGAGCATTCATCATCCTGGTCTGCCCTCGCTGGATCAGGAGAGTCCTGCGTTACACCATCGCGACCGCTTGTCACCTTGGGCTTGACATCACCGGCCTTTTTGCTGACCATTCCATTTATGGCTTCGAGAGCCTTTAATGGCTTGAGGTTCTCCGTGGTAGCGGAAATTGTCATCTTGTACTGCTCAGCCGTCCCACGAGCTTGTTCGACCATATGCCCTTTTGCATCGTCTTCCCCAAGAGTCCGCTCATTCTCAGGGTCCCATTCACCATCTGAGTCGTCCAGTTCATGCACAGAGACATCGCTGTCATCATCTCCGCATGCTCCCACGGTTTCGCTGTCAAGCCCATCGACGTCGATGCCTAGATGTTCCCTCATGAGACGGAGGCGCAGTGTGTGCGCAAAGCGACCGACCTTGAAAGGCACTCCTGCCATTGTGCTGTCGATCAAGTCTGTGTCCCTGAGGACGCACGCAAGCTCAGAATCGCGGTCTCCTCGTTGCGAGCGCTCATTGATGTTCGCCGAGCCAATGATCGCCAGGCGATCGTCGACGATCATAATTTTTCCGTGGATGTAGACTTGTTCTGTTGTCAAAAGACCTCCGCGCAGGGTTCCCCATGTCCTCAGAGAGAAGAAACTGATGTAGTCCTCGGGTGAGATGCCTTCGCGTCTGAGACGGCCAAAGATGGAGTGCTCGCCGCGACAGATGGCACGATACTGGCATTCCACAATGAGACGCACGGAGCTGGCATCAGGATGATCGATCGGCATTGGAAAGCCGGGAATCAGAGGGATGACAATGACTGCCCGCCAATGCGTGCCTTCACGGTGAGCACGAATGATACGATGGACGAGTGCGTCGCCAAGTTGGTTCTCGATCTTGGTTGCATCGACGGTGGTGGAAGTGACGAAGAATTGGTTCTCGATATAGACGAAATGCTCGCTCATCTGGATGGCTTTGAGATAGGCATTCTGAATCGAGTACTCGACCTTGTTGTTCGTACCCATGCTCCAAGGACCGCAAGAACGACAGATCTGCGCCTCAATAGTACCCGTCAAGCCGAACTTGATAAGTTCCTCCGGCGTAAAGTCTGGTGGCGGGAGAAGGAAAGGCATGACTCTGCTATGGTTCTTAATCCTGAGCAGAAAATTCCAGCGCTGGACGAAGTGTCGGCACAGGTCTCTGGCTGGCTGGCCGACCAGTTGAAGGCCAGTGTCATGCCATGGCATTCGAGGGAACTTCTCTCGCGAGAAGAGATCCTCTTCCGGTTTGCTGAGAGTATGCCACTCCATCACACGTTCGTTGGCGTAATCTTGACCAGGCCAGATGCGCGCCTCAGCACCATCACGCGTAGGCCCAAGAAAGGTGCCGTCGGGAGGGGGCATATCGCCATCTGCATCGTCGATCAACACGTGTCCGGGAGTGTCCCAACGCCCAAAGCCTAGCATTGTGGAAGAGACCCTGTCAACATCGGAAGTTTAAGGGTAGGAATAGAACCAGATCATCGATACTCACATAAGTCGAGCCCACCCATGAACGCGACCGTTTCATCGATGACGCAGAGCTTCTCGTGATGCGCCCAATAGAACGTACCAGTTTGGAAATGGCTTGGCGAGCGCTGCACATATATGTTGCGGTGCAGACTGATGAGACGCTGCTTGGTGTAATTGGAGTCGGTCGGTGTAAAGTTGTTCGACACTTCATTGTACAAAATGACAAAGATCTTGACCCCTTCCTCTGCCTTCTTCTTGAGGATATTGTCCAGACGCCACTTGGGCTTACCCGGTCGACGCAAGTATAGTTCCGGGCTGAGCCACCAGTCGTGGATGAAGATCCGGTCTTTGGCCATGAGCAGCGCTTTGCTCAAATTCCAAAAGTAGTCTCGACCGTCGACGAGCCACTGCGCGTTAACGTTGAGCCTGATCGGGGCAAAAGACCCAAAGCGATTTCCGCCAGTGAACACGTTACGCGCGGCGACGGCCTCCATAGAGGCAATAAATTGGTGCATCTGGCGCTCGTTCTTTGCAACTAGACGAAGCTTCCGCTCGGAGTTCTTGAGGAAGAATGTATGTGCGGAAACTCCTTTGTTCTTCTTGTCGTCTCGTTCACCCCTCTGGACATTGTCCGCTGCATTTGGATTACCATCTAATTCATTTCCATCCGCTTTGCGCGGCGTTCGGAACTGGCCACCTGTGAGCAGAGCCGTGCGGTCACCATCCGTGAGAATGTCCATGACGCTATTAATATTTCTGCTTGCGTTCTCGGGCTCCTTTCCCTTCGTTTTGCTCTTCTCGATGCCAATCTTAGTGGCAGCCTCGCTGCATTTTGCCATACCGTTGTCCTCCTCCTTTTCGTCATCTTCTCCTCCACTTTTGTCATCACTGTTGCCAATCTTTGCGCCTTGACGAAGGTCCTGTGCGAGTGACATGGTCTGTCGGTAGATACGCTTGGGTCGTACGATCTCGAATTCCGTGTCCATGAGAAAGACGTCGTGAATCTGCAAACTGTCAGGTTCGTCGACGATAGCGATGAAGCTTTCTCGCACAATGAACCACTTTGGCTCATGACTTTTGACCCAACGCCAAGGAGTCAGCAGGCTGGCCTGCTGCTCGCTCTTCCTGCTGCTTTTGCTTAGGATGCGCAGGTAGCCCTGCTTGCCCTGGTAGCCCCCACGACTGGCAAGACTAACGCTGAGCGCGCTGATCTCGAAGAATTTGCAGAGCCGGTTCGCTTCGGGCCGGAACATGGTACGTCGAATCAGCTGAATGATATACGTCTCGAGCGCCTCGCGCTGCGCACTGGCAAATTCGGCCTTCTTTGCTTTGCCCTGGCGGTGGAGCTGCGTGAAGTACGGCAGCGATGTGAGTGGGAAAGAATGAAGGCCAAGGTCGCCTTCGGTGGTGGAAGATCCTGTGCCAAGGGGCTGGGTGAATTTTCCGCGGAGCGCAGCTGCGCGATAGTGCGTATGGAGGTTGATGAAGTCTTTGAGCTCGCGGTAGACGACCCATTTAACCAGTCCGTCTCCGTACTCTAGCTCGATGCGGAAAACAGCATGTGTGCTGAGCGGGTTCACACTATCGGTGATTTTGAGACGCAAGTGATTGAGCAAGACCGGAATTCGACGATTCTTCTGCTCGTCGCGCTCAATCGACATCTTGAGCAGTAGGACAGGGAGGATACCAGATTGAAGCTCCTGCGTCAGGTCTGGCCCACCGACGAGCTTGCGCTTTTGCGATCTAGCGGTTTTTGCCTGGTTGATGCGCCGCTTCAAAGCCGACCAACGGGCACGGGCCACAACAGGACGAGGGGTGTTCGGACTCTGAGGAGCATCTACATCAATGTTGCCGCTCGGCCCCTCCGGGTTCTCTCCATCGCTTCCTTCTTGCTGTTGCCCGCGTTCCTCAGGCGACTGACCACACGTAGAGCCAGGTATGCCACCTGAATCGCCAGGGTTCGCTCGTCCGCTCAGTCTTCCCATCATCAGGTGGCTGATCTGCATCATCTTTCTTGTCTGAGATGGAGACGATGTTCCTTGGTGTTGCTGCTGTCCACAATCTTCTTCCTTCTGCGCCTGCACGTCCAAACCCTTCTGCGCTTCCTGCACCGTCCCACGGATAGGACGCGAGAAGGCATCTTTGGTGACCGCAATGGCCTGTTCCTTCCTCCTATCTCCATCACCGCCGCCCAGTAAACTGCCTAAACGTGGTGCGCCAGCTCCATCTGGGCCATTTTCGGCACGGTCTTCAGCGAGTTGCCCATTGCCCAGCTTTCCTGGTGCAACATTTGGTGTGGAGGGCGTCGGTGGTCCCGACGTAGTTACCATCGAACGGAAAGATGACTGGCGGTACGTGACTGCAGACTTTAATGTGCTGGATAAGTTCTTGGATGATTTTAAATCACGCTTGAGGGCATTGATGTGATTGCGTTGTTCTTGGTCCGGCCTTGAAAAAGAGGGGAAAATAATGTCAAAGGGGCACAATACGGTGATCCGCGCTAGCAGACGAGGATTGATCTTTCTCACCTGCTTGCCCACATGGGTCCGCGGCTCTGATGGAGCATCTCGTCTTCTGTTTGTGTCTTATCATCTTTCTGTGCTGCGTCCAGCACTAGGGCATTGATTGCGCCGGATCCCAAACTTGCAGTGCTTGCTTGGCGCTTGAGAAAGGAGAGCGGCCGAGATAGGAACACTGAAGCTCTGGAGCCACCTTGCTTGCGGTCCAGATCCTGCTGTGCATCGAGGACATAGCTTGCGTCAATCTGACCTTGCACAAGGCTCCCTGCGCCAAGAGCCTTGGACAAGGGCCGCTCTGCGGCTGGGGTGGGCCCGGTGCTGTTATTGCCTTTCGCGTCCGACGCGAAATCCGTCGCACGCGGTTGATCTGGCGCCATGTTGGTTTGTGCTACCCTATACTCCTGTGACCCGAGCAGTTCTAAAGTTTTTAGCCGCTCAGATCTATTCAGCTCGCCCCGCCAGCATCAGAGAAGCAGGTGCAGGGTTGGAAAGTGTGTGGTAAGGAGCTGGTCCGAATGGAAAAAGGTTGCATTCTTCCCTAGGATACGACGTGTCGGCGCACGAAGAAATGCCCGTTGTCTTGGGTCCGACTCCTCATGCTACCCAAATCTTGGTTTTGGCGTCAGACGAGTTCGAAGCGGAACTTCGGCTTGTCAACACGTCTATCATAGCCATGGGGGATGAGCAGTGAGGTCCAATCTGAATGCAATCCCTCAGATGACGACAAGAAGCGGTCTGAGAGCAACGATGAGCAAGGCGGTGTTGCTCCGCACCTGTATAATGAATGAGACTCGTTTGGTGGGAAATCATGTTACATTTCCTCTCGTTCATTCTACCGTTGAGCACCCTATGACGCGCAGGGTGCTGTCGGAGACAGTCCCACAACGCCTCGGGATGTCTACGATCGGCTCTCTTCGCAGCAGCGGGCGGCCTCACCAGACATGAAACACAATGAAGGCGAAAGCAATAATGCGTCCAAAAGCTTGGTCCCTCGGTTGTCTGGGCAGCCAGTGCGGGAGATGCGGTAAAGCTAACCATGCGTAACGAGTGGCGTAAGCGACATGCAAAGATACCTTGGTACAAGCTCGTTCCAGGGACACGTGTAGCGATATGCGCGAGGCCAGACAACTTGCCAGAGAACAAACCCGAGTTAGGCTGTACGTGCCATTCATAGCAAATGCCCTTTTATGAGCATCCATCTCGCTCACAGACAGCAATTTGTGATGTGCAGGAGTACGCGAGTAAGCGGTGTAAGACCCCCTATGCAGGAGAAGTGGCACCTCGATGCAAATTGCAAATGCTTCATTAGAAGAACTTGATGTAGATGATGAAGAAAAACAGAATGCCCACCGCGCCTACTGGGGCCCACTTGCGGATCATAGCATCGATATTGATCTGCCGCGCCGCCTTGCGGTATTTGAGCGATTCGTCTCGTAGTGAGCTGGACATGGATGACATTTCTGCGCAACGGAGCAAAGGTATGAGCGAATCAATGGCGGCAAGACATGTACTCATCAAGGCGGCCAAGAGCCGGCGCAGTTGCGCGGGGTATGGAACGACGACTCACGGTCCAGACTGTCTCCTCGCCAGAGCAGATCCTCCATGTTCTTGGTCATGATCCTCGTCACGTCTTGCAAGTCCTCATTCAGCTTGTCGAGATTGCTTGAAGCTGCCGTCTGCGCTGTCCGCGTATCTGCATATAGGCGCTTCGTACGTTGCATGAAAGTATCTGCACACAGAATTTGTGACACATGTCAGAATACGATAAAGCTACGCGCGTGCAGAGAAGGGAACACCACAAGGCACGCACCGAAAGCTACAAATGCATAGGGTCGGAGATTGCGCGCAGCGACTTGTGATCCATAACTTCGCTCAAATTCTTTGGAGAGTTCATCGAGGTAGGAGAAAGCGAGCTTGCGTGGGTACGAGCGTTCTGCGACTGTCAAATAGACAACAGAGGCTGGATCTGACGGCGGTGGATGCATGAGATAGCTGAGTGACAGGCAAAAAATCCACAGAGCGTGAGCACAAATCGATCCAATAGGATCGGCATGTGGATTGTCCACAATCACCGCGAGCGTCTAAGGGAGCTCCGCAGCCCCGTTTGCATCACACTCACTGTAGCGTGTAATTCCCACTCTCGATGCTACACCGTTGTTCGGCGCTTGGCCCAAGTCGTCGAAAGATGAGCTTTGCTTGTTGCTTGTACTCAGACAAGTCTTTCTCAGTCTGGTCGTCATCGACCGACTGTGCGAGCGGGAGCCCATCAGAAACGCGAGCGATTTGTGTGGAGCGGACCATCGTATGGAACTTCCAAGCTGCAGCTCAACGTGACGGGATCGGCTACACGATTAGCGGCGAGAAGCGCAAGTGGTTATGACTCAACAGGCTTCGCGTTCCAGACTGATGTGAGCTTCTCCCTGTCGAAGCCAACTTGCGGCCGCGCTCAATTGGATGGCGATGCGATGATTGATGGTCCAAATAAACGTGGCAAAGCACTGGGTAGTCTTACTGAGACGCGGGTGTGTGTGATGCGCATATGGAGGGTGGACCGCGCGCGGACAGCGGAACACCTCCCTCACTGACGAGTGCTTAGCTTGAATTGTCACATTCACAGGACTCCCAAAAGGTACCAATGCCCGCCCAGAAGGCAAGCTCGGGGGTTCTTGAAAGTCCTTCGTTGGCCGCTCGAACAGCGACCCTCAGTGCACACGATCAACCCTCAGTGCACACCATCTCAGCCGAAATAGATTTTACGAGGAAGGCAGTGCTAGTCGACGAGCGCGCACAAGCCCAGCGCCACGATGCACTTATTGCATTGATGTTGCGCATCCTTCAAGCTCTGTCGAGCGTGGGCCGAGATACAGAAGACGGTAACCAATGCAGAGAAATATATCACCCAGGCATGTGCGTGTGTGCGATCATTCATAAGGGTCTCTGCAGAGAGAACCGTTCAGATTCTAGTGCTTTCTCTTCATTGCCAATCCATTTGCCTGCCTGACATTCCCCGTGGCCGGAAGGCGCTCTGCAAGCGGCCATTCCGCATACATTACAACAGGCAGTGTGCAGCAGGCACATCGCGCAGAAGAGCCACCCCTTTATACGACGCGCTCGCATGTCCGCTGGTGACCCCGAGAAAGTGCCGGTCAAGCATATGTGCAGATGAGTCTCAAAGACTCATGCCACCGAGCTGCTCGATCATCGCGTCGATCTCGTCCTGATCCTCCAACCCAAGCTGCATTCATTTCCCATCCAGCCCAGCGTAACGACGTGAGGCAAGAAAGCGAGATGATGACAAGCAAAAGTTAGCAGAGACGAAGTAAGCGTCGAGCAACTCGCACGAAGCTTACCGTGTCTGCAGTGTCCTCATCGTTCACTCGGGCGCCATCAAACATGAAACGGACTGACCTATTTTCGGAGAGAGAAGAATTTGCTTTTGTTCATATGTTGCTGATGTGGCGCCCAAAGCAGCATATCCGGAACTCACGATACTGGTTTTCCCTGTCGGCCGACGGGCAGCGAATTGTAATGCAGCGTGAGATATTGCGCTTCCCATCTGTTCGAAATGGAGCTGCATAGCAAGCTCCGCTGGTTACTAGGAATCGACTTACCATTCGCTCAGCGTATGCTGTCATTAATCCCAAAGGTGAGCGGAGCAATGATCAGCCATTGCCCCGGGGGGTCGCGGTATGATTTTCTGGAATTTGACTCACCCTTCTTCAGCTTTGAGAGCTGAGCGATCGCAAGGATGCGACCCCAAGGAAGGAGCGTAAGCAGCAAATTCAGTTTCCAAGCATCCTTCTTCAGTACGGGAGGGCGGTCATACATGGGTCATACGTACTTTTGTGGTCTTCTTGACCTGCAGATGGACGAGAAGTTAAGTACAGGAGAAAAGTCGAGGAAATCAAGTCAGCGGCCACCGCTTCACTTTCCCAAGGCATGAAGGCCTCGATACCACATGTGCTCCACAGGGCACCGCCGGGCAGTTCCGTGCGCATGTACGAGTGGACGAACCTTGAAGAAGACCTCGAATCCATCAGCATCCTTGACCTTGATATTTAGCTGGTTGTCCTCAGAAGTCTCCGGCTTGATATTCTGCTCGGCGTCGCTCATGTTGACGAAATTGGACCTCTAATATTTAGCGTTCAGGATGTGCACGTTGACTATCTTCTCTGCAGATGTGATCTTACTAGGATATGATGATGCGAAGAGAGAATGCTGTCTGTCCCAACTAAGACCGACTCTAGATCTGAGCATCTCGAAGGCTCGAATGCTGCTTGGTCAATGCTGCTTGTGCCTTTCAAAGCTGCTGCGGCGGAATCAATCAGTGATGACGCAGGCCACATGCAGCAACCGTGTGCAGGTAGTAGTAGTTTGTATGTTGGCACACGCGCCGCGCGCGCGTCTCTTCCCCCCCTTTTTTGCAAACACAGGTGCACAGACCGCACGACGCGACGCGACAACCATGCAATCGCCAGCATAAAGCAGAACAGAATAGGGGGAACCCAGAGCTTTCTAGGTGAGTGTCAGCTTTCGTCGGCAACGCAGTCTACAACACATGAAGCGCCAGCAGCAAGAGGGCATCATCTCGCCCATTGTTGGGCGCCGTTGGTCCTCCGAGTGCGCATTGAATTCTTCCAAGCGCATCCATGCGGTGGTCTTGGGGCACTTGAGCAATAAGTCATCATTCTTGCGTCAACTACTCGCGGCAGCTCTATGAAGAATTGAAGGCCTTCTGCCACGTGCGGTCGGCAAGAGTCTTCACAGAGCAAAACAAGAGCATCATCGAAAACCATTCTGTACCATCGGAAGAGTTAGGCAAAGACAGGTCACCATCATCGGCGATGGAAACCCCGAATGAATTGGTCGCGCACCAGCGCCGACGCCTTCGATTTTCTCGTTCGCGTAACACCTGGCAACAGGACTAGGGAGCTGCAGCCCAACTTCAAGGAGGTAGCAATACAAGCTGAAGATTGGAAGCTTTTACACAGAAAATGTCGATATCGAAAGTGGTTTGCAGTTGCTCCACCGGGAAAGTCTGTCTGGACGCACACGCCATTCTTGTTCACAATGACCATCACTGTCGCAGCCACCATACAAAGATACTCTCTTTATTGTATCTCTGAGCCAAATTTTGCAAAGTCAACCTTGTTTATGGGACCATGGATACAATGTATTACTGTAAATGCCACCAGCGAGGGCGAGCGATCACGACGACACCATGTCCGTAAGTTCGAGCGGCCGTCCGTTGTTGAGAAAAAAAGTTACAGATGTGTCAACAAATGCATTGTTGCGCTGCGTGCCAAATAGAGATGTGACCAAACTTCCTTCCACGGTATCCTCGATCCACTGTCAGAAGTGTGGCAGAAAGGACTTCAGCGTTCGTTACCGTCCGTCCAGTGAGCGTGTCATGGCGAAAACGATGGACGAGGGGCCTAAAGAGCCGTCATACTGTCCCAATCCGCGAGAAATTGGGTTTCGTATAGCGTGCCGATTATAGAGGACCGCAGGTGCCACCGATTTGGTGAACGGATGCTTCTATCAAGTCGTCTTCATCGAGATGGAGCTACAAGTGCAAGGCTAGCAAGGAGCCGGGTATCAGACCGAGAGAGTAGGGGCAAATGTATAAGCCAGCAAAGTAGAAGCCACCCCAAAGCCCACACCCATACATACCTGTTTCGCGGTATCATCAAGGTTGATATGCTGCCCTTCCGGCATGTGAAAGACTACAGCGCGAGGATCGGTGTTTAGCTTCGCTGCGAACGCGCTCTTGACTTCGCGGAACTTGATCAGGGGTTTACCTGTCGGAACGCACGGTCACGAAGCGCAAAAGGGAATGGGAAACACCAAGTTCGTAAACGACTAGCTCAGAAGAGGATGCGGGGTATATGGCCTACCCTGAAATGTATCACCTCGCCATTGAACTCCACTCTCAGCGTCGTGGACGAGAGGTTCTTTCCGTCCGCTTCGTCAGCCATCGCGAAGGCATTGATTGCAATGGTAGTACATGTACAGTGCCCAAGCTCTTTACATTGGCTGCGGCGCGCTTGCTGATGCTGCGTTCCATCTGCGTTCGTATCAGCGATCAATAGATGTATGCAGACGCTACATGCTTTGTCGGAGATAGTGCTGACGACGAGACATCAAGGATATAGGACTCATCACGCGCTCACCTTAGCACGGTTGGGTCGACCTTCGTGAGCCACGGCAGTCCCAGCTTGAGCATTTGGGCGAAGCGAATCAGTTAGTAGTAGAACACAGATGAACTACTTCCGCCGTCTTACTCTCATGCGTTTTTTTAAATACATTTTTTATGCTCCAGTTCACCGGCCCTCCGCCTGGAGCAACGCCAACAATTGTCCAAGCCCAAAAAGAAAGAAAGAAAAGAAAAGAAAAACAAATGGAAAGGGAAAGATCAAAGAAGATGACGCTGTGTGCTGGACGCAGCTGGGGAAGAATGGGGGGAAGCTCATGTCTCGATTCGAACACACAGCATCGCTTTTATGCCACTGTCCATCACGGCGCCATTTCTTTCTCACTTGCAGGTGACCATACAGCAGCCAGCTGGGGTACTCGACGGAGAATTATTCTTTAGCCTGTCAAATCACACGATGGCGCCCGCAGTATCACCTGCACATCAGCAGGCCGAGCGAGCGGCCGACGTTGCTCAGTCTGCCGGGGCGAGGTTCACACGCTGGCTCGAGGACAATCGATATGTGCTCATGGGTGCCGCTGCTGGTGTCGGCGCCGCCGGGTTGGCATACTACTTGATCAGCGGACCGTCCTCACCACCAGGTGGCCGGGGAGGCGACGCCAGCAGCAGCTCTGCCAGTGTTGGCCCAGGGGGAGAGAAGGGCGGCAGCTCCAAGAAGAAGAACAAAAAGAAAAAAGCCAGCAACAAGAAGGATGGGGAGAGGGAGCTGCCGGGAGACGGCCCACTGCTGGAAGAAGCGAGCGATGCGCAGATCATAGCCCTTTCCGCTGAGGAGATTGCTCGTTTGCCCGGGCAGCGTCGCAAGGACATTGCACAGGCGCTCAAGACAGCCGGCAACAAGGCGTACAGCGAGCGCGAGTATGAGAAGGCGATCCAGCTATACACAAAGGCCATCGCTGCAGATCCGCTCGCGGTATTCTACAGCAACCGGGCGGCGTGCTACAACAATCTCGGAAGGTATCTCGAAGTGATCGACGACTGCAATGAGGCGCTCAAGCAACAGAAGGATTACGTCAAGGCTCTCAACAGGCGGGCCACCGCTCGTGAGAAACTCGGAGGGGATGGCGGGAGTGGGGGCGAATCAGATGAAAAGATGCAGTCTCTCATCCGCAGCGCAGAAGGTGCGTCTGCACTACTTATCCTTCCATATTTGGTAGTCATCAACTGACGAACCTTTCACACTGCACAGACTTTACCGCTGTTGCAATTCTAAGCAGATTTAAAGATGCCGCAGCGACCCAAGCGGTCGAGCGTGTGCTCAACACCTTTGCACGCGCTAGGGCTGGTCATACGCTACGAACGCGAGAGCCGCGACTACCATCTCCGACGTTCGTCATCGCCTACCTAGATGCGTTCCGCAAAAAACCCGTGCCGGCTCTTCCAGCAGAGCCGTCGCAGGGTGACAAGACGCTCAAGCTGGCGTACGAGGCGCTTGCAGCCAATAATTTCCCACATGCTTTCTCGCTCATCAGCGAGTCCCTCGACCAAGGTCTCAGCACGGACGACTTGAAGGCCAATGCGCTGAACATGCGCGCAACATTCCAGTGAGCCTTTCCCTGCAGTCCTGAGCATCTCTAACTTTAAGGAGTAATCATTGCTAAACTGCGCAACCTTTGCTCCACCAGGTTTGTCATCGGCAACGCCCCGAGTGCCCTTGAAGATCTCGATGAGAGCACGCGACTTGTCCCCTCGTATGTCCAGAGCTGGGTGAAGAAGGCGAGCGTGCACATGGAGCTTGGTCAGCGCGAGGAAGCATTCAACGACTTCGAGCGAGCGATTCAGGCAGACCCTTCGGATCCGGATATCTACTACCACCGCGGCCAAGTCCACTTCATTCTGCAGCAGTTCGATGAGGCGCTCAAGGACTATAGCAAGTCGACCGAGTTGGACGACTCATTCATCTTCAGTCAGGTGCAGTATGCCGTCGCGCAGTACAAGCTTAACAAGCTGCCGCAGTCCAAGCGATCCTTTGAGCGCATCCTGGCCAAGTTCAGCAACAGCTCCGAGGCGTACAATTACTGCGGCGAGCTTCAACTCGACCAGCAAGAGTTCGAATCAGCGCTCGAAAACTTCAATCGGGCCATCGCGCTCGAAGCGGCCAAGGCGAACAGCAGCAATGTCCTTCCAATGATCAACAAGGCTCTCTTGCTGTTCCAGTGGAAGACCGACTTGGCAGGAGCCGAGGAGCTTTGTCGGAAAGCGCTCGAAATCGACCCGGATTGCGATGTCGCGGTCGCCACACTCGCCCAGCTGTGCCTCCAGCAGGGCCGCATTCCCGAATCCATCGAGTTCTTTGCCCGGAGCGCACAGATCGCGCGCACAGAGCCTGAACTCATCAACGCCATCACATACGAGCAGGTGAGCTGATTTATTGAATTTTTTGATGCTTTTGCATATTTCAAAAAGTGAGCTGACCCTTGAAGAGTGCCTCTCTCCATCAGGCTTCGCGAGCCCAAGCTTCCTTCATCGAAAAATTCCCAGAACAAGGCGCCGACCTCGCTGCTCTGGCTGGGGCTATGCCGTAGGCAACTGTTACATGGTGTAACACCCATGACTTGGGGCCGGCAAATCCTGATCTCGTACATACGCGCCTGTACTGCTTCTATGTTCAAGGCCCCCACACACAAGGTACCGCTTGCCAATCGCACACATTACTTTCTCCCAAGGTAATGCTTCATTGCTGGGGTCGTGATCGTGAGGATGTCGTGATAGAAATACAAGTGATCCGCGCTGCTCTGGGGGGGCGCAAAGCGGAATGCATGGATGACTGGACTGTGGAGATGATGAGATATGAAAGCATGATTGAGGTAAGAGAGAGACGAGCTGCGAAATAATTATATCTAGCTGCGTCGGGCGTGGTAAGATGCAGGGATGAAATGCGATGATAATGTTGATGACGATGTTGTAAAGTATAGTTTAGCGGAGTACCTATAGTGTTGTTGGTCTTGGTGAGAATCATGCGATATACTGAGAAGGGTGACACATTCCTCCGATGCTGATTAAAAGAAACTGAAATGCGAGCCTGCCGGTGCGGACGGTGGCACTAGCTGGTAAGGATGCACGCTGTATGCGACTCCGGGTAGTGGCGCAAAGCCGGCGCCGTCCACGGGGCCAAGCTGGAACTGAGGGAAAGCCTGGTGTGGGATCGCCTGAGTCGAACCGCCATTCATCAGCGTGCTCGTCCTCTTGCGCTTGTTCGACCGGCGATCGTCATCGCTTGCGTCGTCTTCGTCGTCGCCATCGTTGCCCTCGTCAAGAGGGTAGAGCTGGTCGGACCATCCGGCGACAGGCTCTTCGTCGATGGTGATGTAGTATGGCGCACCGTTGAGGGTGTGCTTATTCTCCGCGAGCCAGGCCTTGTCGAAAAGCGCAGAGGGCAGCCGACGACCGCGGAGCGAGTGCGGGACGTCTAGCTCGACGGGCTGGTCTCTCCTCCAGCGGGTCAGGTGCTTGTTCTTCGACTTTTTGTCGGCCAGTTGGTACGCACGCGTCAGGTGCGGATTCCTCCATCGAGGAGTCAGTGCCTCGAGGCCGTGGTCGTCCTTGAGTTTCAAGCTGCGCTGTGCTTTCCACGTCTGTATATCCATCCCGTGCAGATCCTCGTCGCTGGCGGCGTCATCGCTGAATGCGCCGGACATCAGCAGAGGTCGAGGGATAGGGTGCTTGAGTTTTGCCGCGCCCAATTCGCGACCGCGTTGTTTCTGCAGGTGCAGTCGAAGAAACACGCGTAAGCATACACACATACAGGCCGCCATGATTGCACAGAGAAAGTGATCGGGCAGGCTCACAATCTTGGATCTCTCCGTCTCCCGGTCCTTCTGATCCTTCTGCTTTTCGCAATCCTTGGCACCAGGATCGGTGCGCAGGCTCTGCCTGAAGCCGCTGCGGGCGCTGTCCATGAGATCCTTCGCGACGTCTTCGATATGGGAGGCCTTGAGCACGCCAGGCGCGCAGCCGTACTCCTGCGGATGCTCCTCTGCAAGCGCCAGCCCAATGCGGACGATCTCATCGATCAGCTCATGATTTGTCTTGTAGTAGTCGCGTGCTTGGAAGTTGACGTGGAAGAAGCGGTCCTTGGAAGAGGTACTGTCGGGGTTGGAGACCCACTCGGCTTGGCTGTACGTTTTGGTGATCTGCCGGAACTCGCTCGTGTTGAGCCAGCGATACAGGTACTGGCGCAGATCACGCTGTTGACGATGCAGGAGGACTGAATCGTCAGCCAAGTCCGGCATTCCAACGTAACCCGGACCGATCAACATGGACTCACCAAAAGCTTTCGGTTCCTGTACCGCTTGTCGCTGAGCGGAATATCCGTAACGAGGTCCGGCACGCTGACGTTGGCATCCACCGAGCCTCGGCCGCTTCCAGTCGATGGGGCACTACCTGCTTCCGCCAATTGTCCGCCGAGGTAGCTCCCGGCGAGATTGGCGCCAGCCGTAGCGCCCTGGAGGGAAGCAGCGCTAGCCGTGCGCGTGAGCCTGACTGTCTGGACGCCAACACCACCGGGAGGCCCGCTCCCGAGTCCGCCTTCCGACGCCGGCGAAGGGATCGCGGCGCCAGTCGTAGCCTGCACGTGCGCGTGCAACGGCACGTGCCAGCCATCCAGAAAGGTGGGCGCGCCGGCGCCGGCGCTGCCGATGGGAACGGGCACGGGCATGGGCCCGGATCCGGTGCTGGCCGAGCGCGGCTGCAAGCCAGCGCCTGCTCCCGCATCGGGACCCATAAGCTGCATCGTACTGCTCGTGCCTGCGGCTGTGCCAATTGCGGCCGTGAAGGCGCTGTGGGAGATGGCGTTGCTCATTGCAGACGCGCGAAGCGCCGCGACGTGCGCCTGCAGCGCCATAGCCGTCTGCGAATCGGACAGGCTGCGGGCTGCATTCGCGGCGGCGGCGGCCGCCGCCGCTGCGCCAGACGACGCAGACAGTGAGGGCGCCGCCACGGATGACAGGGCGCTTCCGGGGGCGGCGCCGGCGGTCCAGGCGGCGGACACAAAGTCTGCGCTGGCCGTGGGGGGCTGGCAGCCGGGGGCGGCGGCCACTGTGGGCGGAGGGGGAGGATGCATGCCGTGCGCGATGGTGGAAGCTGAGGCGGAAGCATGGCCGGCGCCGGCGCCTTCGCCACGATTGATATTGCTGCTGTAGTTGGTGGAATTGGAGAACGTCGCCCACTGCGCACTATGCAGGCCCTCGTAGCCGCCTGCAGAGGAGCGACGGAACGCAGCGGCGAGTCCGCCCGCGAGCCCACCTACCCCGTCGCCGCCAAAGTGCGCGCCGGGCGCAGCGGCGTAGCCGCTGGCGGACAGCGGCATTCCTGAACCTATGCCCGGGGCGGCGGCGGCCGGCGTGGCTGTTGATGACGACGAGAAGGGAGAGGTTGCGGACGACGGATGCTGGTACGCGTGCGCTGCAGCAAAGGGGTTGTGAAATGGTGGGAGGATGCCCATGCTGTAAGATCGTTGCGCCATCGCCGGCGCATGCGTGTATACATGCGGCTGTTGTTGTGCAAAGGGATTGTGCGCATGCGCAACAACGCCGCTTCCGCTGGCGTTACTGCTGGTGATGGTGCCGGTGGTAGTGGTGCCTGTGCCTGTGCCTGTTCCAAAGGGGTGCTGTGCGAGATCAGCAAAGGATGCGTAGTGCATCGAGGACGACAGCGACGAGGGTGAGGTGGACGCAGACGTCGACGTCGAGCCGGCAGAGTGCTGCAGATCGAGTCCGGGAGGGAAGAGCATGGGTTGCACGCGCCTTGCGGTGGAGAAGGAAGAGGCACGGGACGAGATGGCAGCAAACTCCCTGCCAATGTCGGCGGCGGGGACGCGGCGGAAGCTTGAGTGCTCCACCTCGTCATCCGAGTCGTCGAGCGCAGATGAGTCCAAGTCGGCCGCAGCAGCGGCATCGGCGGCGGCGGTGACAGCGGCGGCATCAGCGGCAGCAGTGACGAGGTCGGCAACATGCGCGACGGTCTGCGCCTGGGGGACAAGCTGGTCGTCCTTGAGCTTGCGTATGTTCTGCGCAGAGATGGACAGCTTGGCCATCAGCTCCCGTGCGGCGTTCTCGACGCTGCCGACCATGTTGTCAATCAACGCGTAATCCGGACGCTTCACCCGACCATTGGCGCCAT